CTACAAGAATGTCAGAGCCAACGATGGTTCACGAAATTCCGTGCTGGTGATTTTGATCTCAACGATGCTCCTCGGTCAGGGAGGCCCACCGAGGTTGATGATGACAAAATAAAGGCATTGATAGAGTCAAACCCATGTTACACAACACAATAGATTGCAGAAACATTGAACATCCATCATTCAAGCATTCATGACTACCTGAAGAAGCTAGGATACATAAGCAAGTCCGATATTTGGGTTCCGCATGAACTCAAAGAAGTTCATTTGACAGTGCATATAAACATCTGCAACATGGTCATTAAACATGAGGAAACCGATCCTTTATTGAAGCGACTGATAACTGGTGATGAGAAGTGGATTGTTTACAACAATGTGGTATGCAAACGGGACGTGATGATTCACCTCAAACGACATCGAAAGCAGACATTCATCAGAGGAAGGTTATGCTCTCAGTGTGGTGGGATTTTAAAGGTGTGTTTTTCGAGCTCCTACCAAGGAATCAAACAATCAATTCGAATGTGTGCTGTCGGCAATTGGACAGTTTGAATGAATACATCACTCAGAAACATCCAGAGCTTGTTAATTGTAAGGGAGTTGTGCTTCATCGTGACAATGCGAGACCACACACAAGTTTGATCATCCATCAAAAATTATTGGAGCTTGGCTGGGATGTGTTGCCAGACCCACCACACTCGCCTGATCTTGCACCGTCAGACTTCCACTTGTTTCGCTCTCTTCAAAACTCCTTGCGTGGTATAACGTCCAATTCAGATGAGGCTGTAAATCAGCACCTTGTTCAGCTTTTTTGCAAATAAAGACAGGTCCTTCTATGAACGAGGAATTATGAAGCTCACTGAGAGATGGCAAAAGGTTATGAAACAAAACGGGCAATGTATCATTGATTGATCTTTGTTCTTTATATAAATAAATGACCTTTGAAAAACATAGACAAAATACATCATGACTTTTCCAACAACCCAATAGAAAGAAGAAAAACGAGGAAGGCATCATCTATGGGCATAATCCAGACCCAAGGTTAGAACAAGCATTAGCATGGATTTTGCCCAGGCTCTTGGTCCTTGCTAGTGGAGTTTGAAGAGAAGGATTAGGTAGAGATAGGATGGAGGGCAAGGTAAGAAAGCCAAGGTAAGCCGGCAGGCCTCTGACATTGATGACAGAGTTTCACGCTTTTCCCAAGACCTTGCCTCTGCACTCACTGCTGGGTGCAAAGAGCACTCGGAGCCAGTCTTCTGTCACTGTCTCTACAATCTTGCACGTACTTCCCTATCTCATCTGGAAATGGAGGTAAATAACACCTGCTTGGCACCTCCTCCCAGGGTTTTGGAGGAGCACATGAAAGAATGTGTGAGTAGCTAATGCCCCCTACATAACGCTACACCAATCAGTGATGTTATTACCATCATCAGCAACACCTGGGCCAGCCAGGAGGCAGAGGAATGAAGACCGATGCCTCCCACGAGCCCCTCCAGACAGAGAACCTGCAAGGAAGCCTTATTGGCAGCCTTTCCTTCCAAGTTCCCCGCTGAAGTCTACACCCACATTAGGAAGATTTGCTCTTTAAACAGTGAGTGTGTTCAATAATATACTTAACACAGTTGGGGTTGTGATGAAAAACAGAAATAAGTTAAGAAATCCTCTAAGCAGCAGTTTGGGGTGGTGTTTTTATAAAAGTACTGGCCCAGTACAGGTTTGTGAAACCCCACTTAAAATTTGTAATGTAGGGAACCTGCCATTTGTCTCTTCCATTTGTCATTTGTCTCCTCTCTGAGACTCCTGGCATGTCTCACTGCCTTGCTCCCATCAGGATGGGAGATGCAGGCCACTGAACAAAGTTGGCAGCGTTCCCAAGTTCTTTTTACTCTAGAGTCCTTCTGATTGAGTGGAGGTGGGACAACGGAAGGGGCAGAGCTTCATGTCTGTTGAAGGTCGATCATTCGCCAGCCAGGCACCATTCTCTACACTGTGCAGATGTCACCTAGTTCCACCTTCCCCACTAGACTGTTGGCCCAATGAGGGTAGTTGAGCATATCTGCCTGGCTTCCTGCTGGCCACCACCAGCTAAACAAGGGGCAGCTCAATAAACGGTCATCAAATATGAGTCTGACATCAAACAACCTTCCAGGTGTGCATTATTATCCCCAATTTACAGATGCAACTGAGGCCCATGTTGCTTAAGAATGTTGTCCAAAGCAAGAGAGCATGTCTGCCTTAAGGTCTGGATTCTACGTGCTCCGAGTTTACGCTTTCAGAGTTTATACTCCCTCCTGCACATCATGCTACTAAGAACCTCCTCTCTCAGAGGCAATGGATTTTATTGTTTTTTAATCATTTTTCCAAAAAGTTTGCATTCCATCTGTGTTTGAAAACAGCTTCTAGGGAACTATTATTAGTAATATACCCAGAAGTCGTTATTTTATAGATCTTTTGGTCCTATTTCCAGATTCTATTTATGAACCAGTCCTCAATTTTTGGGAGACCCGAAATGAGAACAAAGGTCAAATATTCACTCAGCCAACATGAACATATTACGTGCCCATGTGCGGCAGACCCCATGCTCGGGGCCTGAGCTACAAAGATCAATAACAAGTGGTTCCTATCCTTGAAGAATCTACAGTCTAATAGCTCTGACTGAGCTTTTTTTCTTTTAAAAAAAAGTTATTACAAAAGTGAAACATTCTCACTGCAGAACATTTGAAAAACCAAGGTAAGAAGAGAAAGGGGAAAAAACACCCAAAATTCAGACATTTTATAAATCCTAAGGACAGGGCCTATGTCTCAGCATCTCTGTGTCCACTAAACCTTACCTCAGCCTGGAGGAGAAGACAATGTTTTTTGAATGCGGGGAAAGCTAACCTTCATCCCGCCACCTTGAGAGAACCACCTTTGACTTTAGACAATATTCTCAGTCCCCTTTTCTTGGACTGTGAAATGACTGGTTCGGATGTCATCCTCTCTGCCTCACCTAAGCCAGGTGGTAAATTTATGGCCTCCTTTGCACCCCCTATAAATTATGTGGTGCTGCCCACCATGTTTAGGGGTACTTCCCTACCATGGCCCAGTGTCTCCTCATTTAGAGCGGGTCTCTTAGATGTGAGAAAGGCAGAAGCTTTTAACAATTGCCCCACGCATTCCATGTTTCACCCCAGCAAAGCCTCAGGGGCAGGAAGTCAGTTTACCTGAGATCACTTCCCTTGGCTAGAGGGGACCATTCCCCAGCTTTCAGCAAACCAGGCTGCATGTTCACGCACCTGAGGCAGCTTTCAAAACTCCTAATGCCTGGCCCTCCTTCACACAGAATTATTACAACAGAATCTCCAGGCATGAAACCCAGACATTGGTCTTTTGTGATTTTAAAGCTTTCCAGGTCAAAGATCGAGAACCACAAATTTAAAGGAAGGCTGGAGAGTGGCGTGAGTGGCCCTTTGAGACAAGCAGAGGGCACTACAGTGGTCAGTCTTGAGACACTCAGCCCCAGGACTTGGCATCTCAGGAGTGTTCTGCAAGCTACTTCATGAAAAACCTGGGAGGTATATGCGTACATGGGCAACTGGTCTGCAAAGGGGAACCCAAAGGAAGAAATAGCATCTTTGGTCCAAAGGGCTCATATGGATGCCTATATAAGTGAAGAGCACACAGAAACCATGTCCACATACAACATAAATATAGGCAGATAAGTGTGAATGCCCCAATGGGATATTTGTAAGGCACATGAGCTTTCTGGCTTCATCATGAAGGAAAAAAGAATTTTGCAAAATAAATTTATTAGAGATAAGTCCCTGTAACAATAGGCTGCTTAGCAGAAGGGAAATGATTGCAATTAGATAATCTTTATTTAAATAGCCACTGAATACTTGTTACTTGTCAACATTGTGCTAAGCATTTGACGCACATTATTTCATTTAATCTTTGTGATAACGCTTTGCAGTAGGTACTATTTGTTCCCATTTTATAGTGAAGGAAATCGATGCTAATAAATGTTATGTAATTAACATAAAATCACATTAACTAAAAGAGGTAAGCCCCAAGCTCTCTGACTCCGAAGCCCATGTTTTGTTCACCTTCACCCTGCCAGGCTTTCTGAGCCAGACTTAATACAAGGTAATCGAGGTAATACAAGGATGGGAGGGAAATCAAGAGAACCATCCTCCTAGGAAGGAGGAACTTTTCAGCCTGGCTGGTGGGCTGGCAGGTTTTCCCTTCTGTGAAGATGCAGGGTATCATGAGGCAGTCAGCACAGCATGTGCCAAGAGCTGCGGCAGTGCCTCCGCCACCTAGACAAGTCCCTTAGTCCACCTGAGTCTCCGTTTCCTCACCTGAGCAGCAAAAAGGCCTAGAACCATTAGGTCAGTGGTTTTCAAGTTGCCAGATGGAGGCCTGGGCAACAGGAAGCCGTGCTGGGGACAAGATGGACGGGCATAACCTCTCCCTTTCACCTTCAAACAGACAAGCTCTGCATTTAGCTATTTGCAGAGCAGTTTCTCTGCTTGGGGAGAACGGGTATGTTTGGAAGGAAGCCGCTGGGTTACTGGTTAATGGTTAATGGGACCTTTCCAGTTTGATAGACGTCAGGTCCTGGTTTTAAACATTCAAGATGCTGGAAAGAATCAGTGCCGTCGCATTGCTTGAGTGGATGTAGAACTGGGTGGGCAGGAGAATGGGCTTTTATGCCTGTGGTAGGAAGAGCCCCTGAGGCATTGGGGGACAGAAAGGCCAGCGGCCGCCGGCAGAGCTCGCGGTCACGGTAAACCTGCCTGGGCCCTGGACCCCCCAGAGTCCTGGGACAAACCAGAGTTAGACAGGAAGGTAAACCGGGGCCCTTTGTTACAGTGATGGTGACATGGTCACAGACAGCAGAGGCTGGGCTCTGCACTTCATCCCCCTAATTTGTATGTTTTTTTTAATTCAGTAGGGTAAAAGTCTCCTGTTCTCTTTTAGTAATTTAGGATTTAAGCGATTTTCTGTTTCTTTGTGTTTTTCAGATCTTAAATCCAAATTTCATCCAAGAAGGTGAGTTAAAAAGTAGTAGAATTGAGAACATGAGGATTGGCAAACGCAGCACTGAAGTAGAGCCTTTAAACAAGGGTCAGGTAGTTCTGTACTTACAGACAAGGAAAGGTGTTTATGATGAAATATTAGGGTGAAAGGACCGCAACTTGAAATATGTTTTATGGGATCCAATTTATTGTATGAGGAAGTGTTTTGATATAAAGACTAAAAGGCTATATAACAGAAGGCTCACAGTAGTTACCTCGGGATCCTGACATTGTAGAGCTTTTTCTTCTCTTTATTTATCTGTATTTCCTAATTTTTCTACAACAAACATTTATTACGTTTAAAAATACCTTCCCATGGGACAAGATGACTCAACAGTGTTAAGCGGAAGGTTATTTGGATCGTTACACACCATGGGTGGGAAATAAGAGTACTGGGTTGTAAAATGGCTGTTTTAGTCTAAGTTTGTTCTGAACGATGTGAATTTATGTTGATTTGACCACAGTGGCCCCAGAATTCCTCGTGCCATTAGTGGACGTGACCTGTTTGCTTGGAGACACAGTGACGCTGCAGTGCAAAGTCTGTGGGCGGCCAAAGCCCGCCATCACCTGGAAGGGTCCAGACCAGACCATCCTTGACACTGACAACAGCTCGGCCACATACACCGTCTCTTCCTGGTAAGCTGATCACCCTACCTCAGCACCCCTGCTCCTTAGTGCAGCACCCAGAGGCAAGTCTGGGGTGCAGCTTCTGTTTGGTTACTTAGTTTCTCTCTCTCCAAAAGAAGAGCTGCCCTAGAGCCTATTCTAGTGCAAACACCTGGCCTTGATTAGGAAAGAAAGTTAAAAACCATGGGTGTCACAGTAGTGTACTCTCGCAATACTCACACGGCCTAGACTCAGGCCTGTGAGCTGTCGGCACAACCTCAGCCGCTCGCTACAACCCGCCACTCAGCCTGAGCAACACCTAGGTCATGACCAGCACATATTCACATGTCACTCAACATCACGTAGACACACCTGAGACCAAAAGGAACAGTTTGGAAAGACTGCTTTCTGGACCCACATTAAGCAAATAAAGAAAAACATCAACCTTTATATCTCAAGTCAAGCCTGAACCATACTTTTGAAGAGCTTTGACAGTCACTGACTTCATCCACCCTATTTAATAACCTTTTCCTAAGGATCCCCAAGGGACTCTCTGTATCAGTGGGGAAGGCTCCAAACATGTGGTGGGAACGTGGTCCTCATGTTCACATGTCCCAGTGTTCTCCATGCCCCTCAGGATCCTGAAACAGTGATAGACATATTTAATTCCTCCATTAGCCTAAGAACAACTTTCTTAGAAGAAAATAAAAGGACCCACTCCACAATGTGCAACAGAAAACAGAAAATCCAGCCACAGCGTGCTTCTATGCAAAAAGGGTGTTTAACAAAACTTGTGACTGCCTCCCAATCATCCTGTTAGTGTGTATTGCTACTAATTATGAACTTGATTGTGTACTACTGCTCACAGTGGACACGCAGTAACAAGCCCTAAATGCTTAAGAAACGTTTATGGAAGAAACACTTAGGGTCAAGACACTTTCATCCATTAACTTAATATTTGTGTGTGTGAAATAGTGTTCCTGGAAGAGCCTCTCTGCCCAGGGTCTAAAATATCAGTGGACCCAAGGAGCATAGTTTGAGTCAGTGAGTGGTGAGGGCTGTGAAGATCACCACTTTATGTCACCACCAGTGGGGAAAAGTGGGGTTGACTGGGACTTCTGTATTTAACCATTTTAGAGCAGTTTTTCCTTTCGATATCCTGGATCCCAGATGGGGACTACTGGGAGAATTATCACTTAGTTGAGGAATTTTTGCCCTTTATTTAATTCATTTAATTATTTTGAGGGTCCACATGTAGAATTTGAAATACTTGAACATTTTCATTCTTTAGTCTTTCCTTTTTCTTTTCTTTTTTTTTTTGTACCATTTATTACTGAACCTGTGAGACTGAAAATATTTTAGGGCAAAGTTGCTGATGATAATAATTAGAGTAATACTGTGGACCAGTACTTGTATAGGACTTAATGTATTTGAAACTATGTTCTAATTCTTATCTCATTTTATTTTTTTATCCCTATCCCTCATATCCAACAAACTTGAGAGATGGGCATGGCATGAATCCCCCCTCCCGCCCCCCATAAGGAAACAGGAATATAGGGAGGCAAGCTGATCACCCAAAGTGTGTAACAAAACGGGACTAGACCTTGGGCCTAAGAACCGGCTCACCACACCACGTGCCAACCCTGTGCCAGTCAATTCTTTCATTACTGGAGTTTGAAGGGCATCTTTTTGGTGTCTCTAGTGATTCCGGAGAAATCACCCTGAAGATCTGCAACCTGATGCCCCAAGACAGCGGGATCTATACCTGCATAGCAACAAATGACCATGGGACCACATCCACGTCTGCTACCGTTAAAGTGCAAGGTACAGGTCCGGCCGAGTGGCGCATTCATTAAGAGTTGTCTTGGGATGCCAGCTCTGAGCAGGAGGGCCCCGGTTCAGATCCCATATGCGGGCCAGTGACGCTGTGCCCTCTACAGCTAAGATGGTAAACAACAGCTCAACCTGGAGCTGGGCTGCCCATGAGTTGCTGGCGATGGCGTAGGCTGCAGCCCCTGCTGCAGTGGGCTGCCGTAAGCTACCATGAGTGACTGTCCAATGGCCGGAGACTGGCCTGGCCTGCCTCAGCCAGGAAGAGCGCAATGATCACAATACCAACATGGGCCAGTGAAGCGAGGTCCTCTACAACTAGACTGAAGAACAAAAGGACAGCAACTTGTCTGTTCCCCTTCCCTGATTCCCCAATGCTGTTCCTCTCCCCCAATTCCCCAATTTAAAAAAAAAAAGTGCAAGGTACAGTTTTCTTTAGTTAACATTTTTTATACCTTTTGAATATTTATTTTTTAGTGTGGTAAGATACATGTAACATAAAATTTACCATCTCAACCAATTTTAAGTGTACACTTAGTCGTGTTAAGTACATTCACATTGTTGTGTAACCGATCTCCAGAACTCTTTATCTTGCAAAACTGAAACTCTGTATCCATTGAACAACTTCCCCCATTCCTCCCTGCCACGCCACCCCCCCCCAACCCCAACCCCTGGCAACCACCATTCCACTTTCTATCCCTATGAATTTGTGTTAGTCAAACATTTTAAGTGGACATTACAAAGGTTCTTGGAGACCTGGGGAAGGAAAATTCTAGTGTGAAAATTCCAGAGTAAAGTTCTAGGAAACGGGAAGAGAACGATTTTTAACTAAGAGCTGTCTGTGACCTACCATGCACCTCCTGCGTGGTTCCCTGACCAAGCTTTATCGCCTAAGGAGAAACTTGCAACAGCAGGGTGTGTCCCCTAAATCCCCCTTAGGCCCCGAGAAAGCCACGGCATTTGGTGGAGAAGGTCATAGGAAAAATTTGAGACGCAGGTTAGGTAACGTTTCCTAGGTGATGTTCAACCTTGGTGTAAAATGCCAAGTTCTGCAGAAATAGCACTTGACCCTAATTTCTGTCCTTGAAGGTGTCCCAGCGGCCCCTAACCGCCCCATCGCCCAGGAGAGAAGCTGCACCTCCGTGATCCTCCGCTGGCTGCCCCCTTCCAGCACAGGAAACTGCACCATTTCTGGTTACACCGTGGAGTACAGAGAGGAAGGTGGGCCACCTATTTCTGTCTTCTCTTCCTCATAAGAAGGATCTTCAGAGTTATAAAACTGTTAGCCCTCTGTGCCTCTCAGCAGCCGTTCCTTCTTGTGGGAGCACGAAGGCCTCAGCGCCAGACTATATAGATAGCGCCTTCTGGTCTCAAACATCGAGCAGTGGTTTTCACCAAAATGATAAAGGCTCATGACAGGTTCCAAAGTGCCTTCATGTGCTTCCCTACTTAACAAAGCCAATCACCCAATAGCGACAATCAGGCCTACAGATGAGGAAGCTAAGGCCTAAGGGGTTAGCACGAGGCTGGAGTTAATGAGAGGCAGCAGGGCAAGCATTAGAACCCAGGTCTCTCTAGGTTGCTAACTTGTGATTCTCCCAGAGTAATAGATAGAGGAGCAGGAGCTGAGCTTTACTCCCACCCCCACCATATATAAATAAATATATATATATATATATATATATATATATATATATATAAATTTATTTAATTGTTCCATTTTTAAATTTGTCACATTTACATGCTAAAAGTACATACATTTCCTTAGCAGTTAGAAAAAACTGAGCCTGACACCTACTTATCAAGAAGAAAGAGCTAAAATATGAAACTGCCACATAGTTCTAATTGTTAATAACACATTTCTGAATCACACGATGATTGCTAAACAGAAATGAAAGCAACTGCTTGCAACCCAAATCATTTGTTTTCCTCTACTTTCCATTACTTATTATTTTAACTCTTCGTTCTTCTAGTAGCCTCTGTGCAGTTATAAAGCTATTTATTTCTGCATCTTTCTTAAGCTGCTCACTCTTATGTCTCCCAACTCAGCACAACGGTACTAATGCTGAGCTGACAGACACATTTCACAAGGCTCATATTTACCTCAGCATTATTCAGTTCATAATTCATCTTATCAACTAAGTTGTCTTGGGAAAAGTGTTTAATCTTTCTGAGTCTTGGTTTCTTCATCTGTCCAGTGAGATAAATGCCCTAGACCTCATAGGGTTCCTGTGGATTTAAGTGAGAAAGTTAAATGAGAGAGTGAAGTGAAGATGCCTTCCATAGTATTTTACATGCACGTAGTGCTCAATACATGTTCAGAACTTGCTATTTTGTTTCCATTTTCAAATGCATATTTTCTCATTTTGTTATTAATGTATACATTTCTGGACTTATTAAAAATTTGCTACATGTTCCTCTGTAAATTCTGTGTGGTCTGCCTTTCCACCCTCACACGTGCTCATTTGAAATGAACAGAATCTGCTTCCACACACCTTGTGATGTATTCAGTCATATAGGAAATTGAAGCCACACCTGCCACAGTTTGCCCACAGGCTTTCAGAGCCTGACATGTAGTGACCACAGCTGTCTCTTGAATGGAATGTGTTGCTTTTCCTTTCTTTGTTTGCTGAAGGTCTTTGGAACAATGTCCCTCTGGCTTTCTCTCTTTCCCTCTCCTTGGAAATTGTGCACTAGGTTCCCAGGCCTGGCAGCAATCGGTAGCTTCGACCTTGGACACTTACCTCGTCATAGAAGACCTCAGCCCTGGGAGTCCTTACCAGTTCAGAGTCAGTGCCAGTAACCCCTGGGGAATCAGCCTTCCCAGTGAGCCCTCAGAGTTTGTGCGGCTTCCAGAATATGGTGAGTCCCAGTCACGCCCAGGATCCCCGGTGGGGGATGCAAGGCACCTGGCTCATTGTCACATACTCATTGATACTGGCTGCTCATTGACATGTCAGTTACCATGCAGAAAGTGACCTAGATTTGCTTGGTGGCTTCGGCCAAGGAACATTTCAGAGGCTTGATGAAGAGTGTTTTCATAAAAGTGTGATTTCAAGTGTCTTGAACCAAAATTTAGATTTGCCACCCATGTCTACTCTGGGCCCCTCAGCTTCCTGGCACCTGTGTGTATCTCCAGAAACAGAGAAGGGCAGGCAGATGTCATGAGTCACATAGATGCTACCTGCCTCTCTTCTGAGACAGGAACACTAAAACCCCCCTCTACCCCTGGAAACCCCTGCTAAGCAGAAGTGCACCTCACAGGCATTATGGACAGCCACATTCACCAATTTAAACTGCGGAAAGGAAAGCAACCTGGTTGAAGGATTTTTTTTTTTTTAAGATTTTATTGGGGAATTGGGAATGGGGAACAGCCAAGTTGTTGTCCTTCAATCTTAGTTGTAGACTGACCTCAGCTCCAAGTCAAGTTGCCATCCGGCTGCCTGTCGGCAGCTCGTGGCAACTCGCAGCCGCTCAATTCAAGGTGCTATGTTCAATCTTAGTTGCTGATGGGCATAGCCCACCATCCCATGTGGGAGTCAAACTGCAAACCTTGTTGCTAAGAGCACACGCTCTAACCACTGAGCCATCTGGCTGCCCATCGGCAGCTCAGGGCAGCTCAGCTCAAGGTGTTATGTTCAATCTTAGTTGTGGGGGGTGGGCATAGCCCACTATCCCATGCGGGAATCCAACCAGTAACCTTGTTGTTAAGAGCACGTGCTTGGGCACAGCTCACTGGCCCATGTAAGAATCAAACTGGCAACGCTGTTGCTCAGAGTTCGCGCTCTTAAACAACTGAGCCACTTGGCCGGCCCCCTGAAGGATTTGAATCAAAATGAATATTTGATAATTTTCCCACCCCAACCTTCCCAAAATGTCTTTTCTCAATGTGGCTACATTTTTATGTAGATGAGTTGGATAGTTAACTAGGACATACCTGAAATTACCTACACATGAGTATTTTATAAATGTGGCCCTTATTTTGCCCACCTATTCACTATCTCAGCAAGCCACTTTGGTCCCAAGGACATTTTGAAAGAGGAAACTTGTTAGCCTAAAGAAATGGCCAAGTAGTGGCGTTTGGAGCCATGCAGCAGCGTGAACTGTGCATTTGGGGCGGGAGAGGAGGTCACCGTGCTTAAAAGGCAATGAACCTGTGCCTCTTTGGGCTAAGGGAACCCAGGAGTCTCCGGAGGAGATTCAGAAACCCATTAGGGCCTCGGCCTACAGCCCCACCCCCAGCCAAAGCCGAAAATGCTCCACAGCCCGGTCCCCACCAGCTCAGCTCTCTCCCTTTGCTCCCATGGGCCTGTGACTCACTAGGAAACCTCGGCCCTGGGTCTGTTTCCTCAGAGTTCATGGTTGTATAAGGCATCTTCAGCCCCAGCTGAGCTGTGCTCTGGACAGCCTGAGGTGATCGTGGTCAGAAGAGCTGTGCTGCCCGCTTGGTCTTCTGTTCCCAAGCCACTGACTAAATCCTTGTCAGAGATGACCACTGCTCATTTTTCCTTCTTGTGAGCATTGGCCCCAGAGACAACACAAATAGATAGATATTAGTGTGTGTGCTTGCATGTGTGTGTGTGTGTGTGTTTGTGTGTGTGTGTGTGTGTGAATTATTGTCAGGGGATTAACACATCGTACAGGGGAAGGCTACAAGGATTCTACTCATGCATGTGTTTTGGGTTAAGCTAAATCATTAAATATACGGGATAAACTCATTAATGCCTAAGAAGAGTGGGGTGAGAATGAGCAGTTTTTAGAATGTTTTAAGCACATTCCTTTCCTTCCCTGCTTTCTTGGCCTTGTAACTCTTTCCCTACCCCGTCTGCTGCCTCCTCCCGACAGCCCTGAGTCTCACTGGCTTTTCTAGGCCTTCAGTGTGGTTTTTCTCTCCCCCTTTTAACTTTTTCTACCAAATATTTATTTAAAAATATCCAGAAGTTACATTCCTGATTGTCCCGAGTGTTCCTTTGTTGATGTAGGTGGCACAGGGAGGAAGTCTGACTCTATCATGTCAGCTTCCCCTTGGATGATATTTTTAACAAGAACATTTCAGAGAATCATGGCATTTTCCCACTGAGTTAGACTCCATATTTAGTCATGAGAGTTGTTTTGGGATGGTGCTGTTCTGTTAACCTTTTTCTGTTATTCTTGTATGACTTCCTTAATATCATGAATGGATTCTCTCTCTTTCAAAGATGCTGCTGCTGATGGTGCCACCATTTCTTGGAAGGAAAATTTTGATTCAGCTTATACTGAGCTGAATGAAATTGGAAGGTAATGACCCAGTTTTCTATTCCTTTATTCATGAACAATTAACAACATCACATCAGAATAATGGCTTGCATTTGTTGTTTGTTTCTTTAGCTCTTTCTTTACTTAGTGCATTCTCTCTACAGTAAGAAAAAATTGGAATATTTATGTGTATTTTCTATTGTTCTTTTTCTAACTTCTTAAATTGGAGGTTTCATGCATCAACTCTCATCCTTTCTTCTTTTCTAATATAAGGATTTAAAGCTTAGCCTTTTCTTCAAAGTATAATTTTAGCTACATCTCTTCAGCTCTGATATGTGGCATTTTCATTATCATTCAGTTCTAAGTATTTTTTCTTCAACTGTGATTTTTTTCTATGTTTAAAAATTTCCAAATCTGTAAGACTTTGACAAATTATCTTCGTGTTACTGATTTCTAACTTAATTGCATTGTAGTTGAAGAACATGGCCTATATGATAGTGATTCTTTGATTTTTGGGGGGGGACTTACTTTATGAGTAGTAGTAGTACATTGTCAATTTCTGTTAGAAGTTCCATGTGTTCCTGAGAAGAATGTATAATCATTAATTGTTGGGTACAGGTCTCTATATATGTCCATTTGTTAAGCACATTGTTTTATGGACATTCCTAGTTCAATCTCACACACACACACACACACACACACACACACACACACACACACATCTCTCTCTCTCTCTCTCTCTCTCTCTCTCTCTCTCTCTCTTTCTCTCTCTCTCCCTCTCTCCCTCCCTTTCTCCCTCCCTCCCTCTCCCTGTGTGTATTTTGGTTAGAAAAGTGTGTCCTCACAAATAAAAAGCATAAAAGTATGACTTTTAACAAAATAATGAAAAAAAACCTATCACCTGTTCCACAAAATCGTTGATAGATAGGAACAAAAAGAGGGTTTATCCTTGTGCATACATTAGTCTCCCGGTGGTCTAGGTGGGAGAATGTGGTGGTAGGTTTTGCAAGTCACCCACCCACCCTGCATGTATGTATATAAGAGAGCACTCACTAACAATGACATTAACATCATCTCCATCCCTGATTGATGTCTCAATGAAGCATAAAATTTCCAAAGTGAGGTGGTTTTGACAGAGGTTGTGGAAAGAACCAAAATGTTCATTATTCCCATTTTTTAGGCAGGAGTCGCAATGTAAATCACTGTCTTTCATTACAGCTCCTGTTATCAAAACCCAGCTTTGCTCTATTTTCCCATCTTCTTGGTGTAGTCAAAAGGCCAATGGAAATTTACAGGGTGTTGATTACATAGATGATGCTTGTTGAGTATCCATAGTATTCTGAATACTGCGCAGATATTATACAGAAGTTACCTAATCTAATCTTTACAACATTGAGGTAGCTTTTGAGTGGATTTCCAGTAAAGGAAACTCAGGCTCAGGGGGATTAAGTAACTTTCTTGAGGTCCCACAACTAGTAGTGTAGAGACAGGATTCAAACCCTGGGGTACCTGACTCTAAGCCTGTGCTTGTTTACTAGTGTATGTTGTTTCACATCAAAGCAATTTTTGTCAAAAATAAGCTGTAGTAATTGAAATCTAGTTTGCTCCATCATATTGAAGTTTGTGAAGCTAGATATGACCCTCATCATGAGCAAGTCAAACTGGTTCTACCACTTGGATACCCCAGTCAATTCCTCCCAAGATATAAATTTGCTGGTAATAGCCCTAGGCTAAGGCATGTTTTATCTAAAAGAGATGGGTTTTGATATTTCTCAAAGGCAAGGTCAATTTTCTGATCTGTTCAAAGCAATCATTGGTGTTTCAAAAATCTCATCTCCAACGACCTGAAACTTTTCCTCTCTCCCTAATATAGTCTTCATATTTTCAGAAGATTCTTTAAAAATGCTATATGGTAACAGAATGGAAATAAACCATGTAGATACTTACATGAGACACATGAAAGATATCTGTGCCAGGGCCATAGAAGTGAGCCAACTTTCTTCATCACACCTAAAGCTAGAATTCTAAGCCAATATAACTATCTTGTTAAAAACAGCTCTCCTGTAACTGGATATTATAAAAACCATGGAGCAAAAAGAAATATCTTCACTCCTATAGCCCATTCATAGAAGCGACAAGCACCTGAGCATGGCATATTTAGCCAGAAATAAACTATATGGGCACCAATGCAGTTTAAAGAAGCCAGAGAGTTATCCCCTGGGAATGCTGATTGGTTAGCTGTACAGGATCCAAAAAGGTAGCAGTACCAGGCCTCCAGGTAAGGATAGCAGGTTGAACCAGGTGCCTATTTTTACTCCCTCCTGAGACTTCACTAAATCTACAGTAAAGGAATTTTTTAAAACAGTCACGTAAGGATGAGAGCATTGGATGAAGAGACAACAATAAAATATTAGATGCAGATAAAACAAATGAAAGTGACAAATGACCTAGGAAACCTGAGAAAACTCAATCCAGATCAGTTGTGGGGTCAAGTGAGCGCCAGTACAACTTATAGCAGAGTTCCCCGAAGGCTCAGGTACTGGCAGCACCCAGAACCTCTGGAAATAGATGTAAAGAGGATGCTAAAGTTAGAAGGGTTGGCTGAACACTGTGAGAAAAAAGTTGTGCCTCCCGATCTCCTCCCCAGCTTCAGGTATCTATATGATTGTCCTTCTCCATCCAGGAAAAGACTAGAGGTTTATTCTCTAGGAAGGGTAAAACAGAGTGCCTCTGTTCTCATGGACACCAGCACATTTGAGGGCAGCAGAACCCTAATTCAAACAGGGCAATTATGGGACTAAGTGCATGCTGGAGACTGAGGACCCCAGTTCTCTTATCTACACTCAAAGCTGCCAAATAGCTTTTTAGTCCCCCAATTTTTAAAATGAGCCAACTTCTGATACTGGCCAAGATGGAGTAAGCCCATTGTAGCCTTTCTCCCCCACTGATTACAACCAGAGTCCTTGGACAAAATATAAAAAGCAACTATCTGAAAATTCTGAAAAGTAAATAACAAAGAGATTGGGAAGGGAAGTCAAAATTTGAAGAAAGTAACCAACAGTGGCTGGGAATTTTGTTTGTTTGTTTGTTTTCCCTGTACCTACTGTCTTTGACCCAAGGGTGGGCCAAATCAAGAAATTGTACAGCATGCACAGAGAGGAAAAACTCCAAGAGAAACCCATATTTCTTGCCAAAAAAAATAGGGAAAAGTGGGTCCCTTTGAGCTGGAGGGAGCAGGAAATTTCCTTTTTGTTCCCCTCTCTGCTTTCTCTCACTGCTTTACCTGAAGGGCATTCGTGGAGAACTGCCTGACGATGCAAGATGCTAAAACTCTGAGGGACTCCCAGAGGAACCACGAAAAGGGGCCTGGGAGCCAAAGAAGGTGGGGGAAATCTCAGTGAGGAGAGAACTAAATATTTGTATTAGTGTCATATACAAAGGATTAGGAATTATAATGTTTTGGACATTGACAGTTAACATTATCGATCACATTAGAAGTTAAAAGGCAATAGAATAACTTCTTCAAAATTGTGAATAAAATTTCTTTCCACCTAGAATTATACCCAGCTAAATGAACAATCAAGTATGTAGGTCGAATAACCACATTTCAGATATGCAAGTCTCAAACAACTTATTTCCCTTGCACTCTTTGTCAGAAATGATTGAAGAATGCATTCTATCACAAAAAGGAAAAACATTGATAATTTACTAGTGATTCAGCTGTAACTAGAACTAATAGTTGCAATAATGTAAACCGTGAATATTGATTACAATATAATTCTGTTGGGGAGGATACAGGATGAAAAAAGTGGCTATGTGTTTAGAAACAGAGGGAGGAAAAAACTAAAATCTCATCTTTCATAGTGGGTTGTCAACAGATAACTAAAATGGAAAAATCAAGAAGCAGCCCCACAAAACATACTATATTTAGAGTCATAGAAATAAATACCTAAATCATCAGCTAAAATATATTAAAATGGTATATTAAACTGCCAATAGGGAAAGAAAAATGGGTGGGATGATGGGATACTATTGTTTTGGAGTTTTTTTTGTTGTTTTTTTTTAAAGATTTTTTTTATTGGGGAATTGGGGGAAGGGGAACAGACAAGTTGCTGTCCTTTTTGTTCTTCAGTCTAGTTGTGGAGGATGTTGCTTCACTGGCCCAAGTTGGCACCATCATTGCGCTCTTCCCGGGTGAGGCAGCTCAGTCGCTGGACGCAGCTCACACTGGCTGCTGGCTACATACGGTAGCCCATGGCAACCCACTGCCACAGGGGCTGCAGCCTATGCCGTCGCTGGCGACTCATGGCAGCCCAGCTCCAGGTTGAGCTGTTGTTCAGCATCTTAGCTGTAGAGGACAGTGTCACTGGCCCTCATATGTAGGATCAGAACCGGGGCCCTCGGGAGTCCCAAGCCATCTCTTAACCAACACTCCACTCGGCCGTTCCAGATACTATTGTTTTTAATATCAAACCTTATAAAGCTAAATTAAGCCATGGAGATGCATAAATTTGATAAACACAAATTTTAAAAATATTAAGGTGACATTACCTTGGCATGGCCACTAAGTTTAGGAGATCTATCCTCAGCATCCAATGTCCTCTGGAAGGAGTGACTTATAATAATCAAACTTATAAGAGAGTGCTATTAAAAATCAGAATGGAAATTTGTTAATTTATGATGTAAAACAGAACTGTCAGTTTGACCAAATACTTGCTCACTATGCCAAGAATGATGTCTGGTATATAATAGGCATTCAATTAATGTTTGCCTAATACTTATTTTATTAATCAGCACATTCTCTTCTCTTGGGAAAATCTATAGTGGAAAAAATTATTATTATCAGAAAGTTGCTTGGTGAGCACAGAGCCAGGTCAAAGAGTCAGCTGGACAATCTTGTTCATGGGTTGGAGTCTGATGTATCCATTTCTGCTCGAGGAATGCAATGTCCTTCAGATAATTTTCTCCTCTGTTTATGGGTTAGGGCACTTCATGAACAGGCTTGACTGTCACACTGGCTTTTCACCCCTTTGACTCTGCCTTTCTCTGCTTCCATTGCTGACCAGTTTCCCCCTTCTAGTTCACCCTCTTGCTACCTTCCATAGGGCTACAGCTGAGTCTGGGAGCCATTTTGTTTATTTTAGGTGTGGTTAATTTTGTTAGATATAAAAATAGAATGGTGGTTGTATATTTGTTAAGTGTTCTTGTCAATTAGAGATGCAAATTGAAGTATTTATGAGTGAAATAACATGATATCTGGATTTTGCTTAAAACACTCCCCCCCCAAAAAAATATCAGGGGGCAGGAAAGGAATAGATGAAATAAGGTTAGCAAAATTACAATTATTGAAGCTGGCTGCTTGGGGCATAGGACATTTATTGTGCTAGACTCTCTACTTTGTTTATATTAGAAAATTTTCATAATAAAAAGATAATAAGTATAAGATGAAATTTAAAAATTGCCTCTTTAAAAATGTTTTTCAAATTATCATAAAGTAGAATTTCTCCTTCAGTATTGTTACTATTGTTATTGTTGTATTTTATAGAAATATACTCTGTTTAGAAAAGAAAACTGAATCTGTGGTTGATGTTTAAAATGACAGAGAAATATATTGACTAAAAAATGCAATTAGTTTTGTGCACCTCGAAGAACCCTAAAATGCTAAGGAAGAAAAATGATGTTTCTGAATCGTAACATTATAATTAAAAATACAGTAGTTCCTCCCTTGTCTGTGGTTGCACTTTCCATAATTTCAGTTATGCAGTTAACCATGGTCCAAAATTATGAAAGGGAAAATTCCAGAAATAAACAATTCATAAGTTTTATTTTTTTATCCAGTATTTTTTCTTTAATCAACTTTAATAAAAATTACACATGAAACATATGAATATATTCTCCTCTTAAAAACTAGAACAGTGCAGGTAAAATTAGTGTGCAGTTGACGTTTTTTTTCTTAATCTTGATCCTGCACTCCTTATCCCCTAGTTAGCTACTCTTAGACACTTGTTCAGTGTGCAGTGTAATGTCCTTCAGGCCATTTTTATATTTTATATGCATTTTAACTACAGAAAATAGGGTTTAATATTTTTTTATTTGTTTGTTTGTTTCAGGTGTACAGAACAATGCAATAGTTACCCTTTTTACCCCTCACAAAGTAACAACCCCTCTCCCCCCATCCCCGATATCATATTTATCTATTACAATTCCATTGACTCCATTCCCACACTCTACTCCATGTCCTGTGACTATATGTATATATATAATTATAGTTGACATACAATATTATTCAACATCAGCTTCAGAAATACAGTGTCGTGGTCAGGCCTCTACACCATCTATGAAGTGGTCTCCCTAACAAAACATGAGTTCATCTGGTCCCCTAAAAAATATTTACAACATTATTGATTATATTCCCCAGATTGTCTTTTCTATCCCTGAGGCCATATTGTAGTTACCAATTTGTATTGTCTCATCCCTTCCCCTTCTCCTTCATCCCCACCCCCTCCCAACTAGCAACCATCAGTGTTTCCTCTGTGTCCCTGAGACTACTTCTGTTTACATTTCTCATTTATTCAGTTTTTTAGATTCCACATATAAGTGAGATCATACAGTATTTGTCTTTCTCTGACTGACTTATTTCACTTAGCATAATGTTCTCTAGTTCCATCCATATCGTTGCAAATGGTACGATTTCATTCTTCTTTATAGCTGAGTAATACGCCATTGTATAAATGTACCACAGTTTTTTTAATCCAGTCGTCTACCGATGGGCATTTCGGTTGTTTCCAAGTCTTGGCTATTGTGAATAGCGCTGCAGTGAACATAGGGGTGCATATATTTTTTCAAATTAATGTCTTGGGTTTTTCTGGATAAATACCTTATGAATTGTTAGGTATTTATCGAACAATTCATAAGTTTTAAATTGTGTGCTGTTCTGACTAGCATGACAAAAATCTCACACCATCCAGCTCTGTCCCACTCGGGACATGAATCACCCCTTTGTCCAGTGTCTCCGCATTGTGTATGCTACCTGCCCATCAGTCACTTAGTAGCCATCTCGGTTATCAGATCCATTGTCGTGGTATTACAGTGCTAATGTGCAAGTAGTCCTTGTTTTACTTAGTAATGGCCCCAAAGCGCAAAAGTAGTGACGCTGGCAATTCAGATATGCCAAAGAACAACCACTAAATGCTTCCTTCAAGTGAAAAGGTATTTATGTATAGGAAAAAGTATATGCAGGGTTCAATATTATCTGCAGTTTTGGCATCCGCTATGGGTCTTAGGACATATCCCCATGACTAAGGGGGGACTACTGTACAGGAAAATAAAGTTCCTAACAAACTGTTACTGTCTCACCAGTTAAGATAAAATGTCACACATCCTTGAATAAAATAATACCTAGTTGATTAATGAATCTTGAAAAAATGCTTCCTCCCTTTTGTTTTCCAGAGGCCGTTTCTCCATAGTAAAGAAGTGCATCCACAAAGCTACCCGCAAGGATGTTGCTGTGAAATTTGTTAGCAAAAAAATGAAGAAAAAAGAGCAGGCTGCCCATGAAGCGGCCCTACTTCAGCACCTGCAGCACCCGCAATACGTCACTCTCCACGACACCTATGAGTCCCCCACATCCTACATCCTGATTTTGGAACTGTAAGTACAGGTGTCATCTCTCTAAGGTGGTCCCCAGCTGTTTGGGTTATTTATTGGCAGTAACATTTAATACAGTCTTATAGTTTACAAAGTGCTGTATGTAACAAGCACTCTCCCCTCTATTTTATAAAGATGTTATTCCCATTTTATAGATTAGAAAATCCAGGACAAGGAATATCCTTAAAACTAACTCCTTAAAATTAGGAAATGAAGAATCTGGGACTTGAATCCACGTCTCTCTTACTCTGGTTTTCATTTTCTTTCTATTCTGGACTCTTGGCCTGGGCAGGAGTTTAGGAAAAGCTTATTGACAGTAAATAGGCTTATTGACAGGGGTGGAGTTGAAGTGGAAGAGAAGGGTGTGTGCATCAATCCACTGCCATAGCGTCCCAGACTACACCCAAGAAATTCCTTTTAGGATGGAACCTTCAAAACATTCCACTCATTCCAGATTCTCTCGGGACCCAGGCCACCATATAGTTGGCCCCAGAATATATCAGATAAAGCAATGAGGTCACATTCTCCTCGCTTCTACCCCAAACTAATAACAGAGAACATGCTCAGTGGTTTAGAGAGGGTTTACAGAGACTAAAGAAAATCTTTTCAGAAGTACTGAGCCCTCATAGAAATGTTAGCAGATTGGTGCTGATGGGGCCCTGGGTCTGGAGAGAAGACAGACATTTGCACCGAAGACCAGTGCTGTGTAAAGCTCCACATGAACCTATGTTCAGTAGAGGGCCACCTCCATGTATAGTTTTTCATCTGTCATGTAGTCTTGCACTCCTGTGCTTGTTAGTCTGTGGGTATGTGTATGGGGGCCTTTGAAGCAGTAACTTATCATGAGCTTATTTATGAAGAAAAAAAGAAAGCCAAAATGTAAACATCTGTAGATTACATTATTAAATTGGCTGAAAAGAAACAAGAAGAGACAAAACCAACACTGTTAGTATTTGTAATTATTGTGTGGTACCTAACTTTATACAGCTGTGTAGTGGTTGGTAGACTGTCACTTTGGACTTAACAAATAACTTACAAAACAGCCTTTCAGAACCTAACCTGTTTGTTGGGAGCGTCTTAACTCAAAAAGCATGTTCTGTTGACAGTGAAAGGTCATTTACAAGTGGCAACATGTTATACTTGAATTCCAATAAAAGGTATAGTCACTTGGGTACCAAGGTGGTACAGCCGCCCCGGAACCTTTGCCTCTTCAGACTTGCTGATCACCATTCTGAAGGAAGGCGTTGATTACCAGCCTGACACAGTGCAATGGAAAGTAGCTATTCTTGGGATGAGGAACCAGGGCTTTAATCCCAGCTCTGTGATTTGAGGCAGTCTACCTGGCTTCTTGGGCCTCGAGGTTCTCATCTATGAACTCTGAAGAATTATTCCCATTTCTCAGAGATGTTTCAGGGATTTAATTAGGTGAATATTGGATTGAACTAGTTCTTCAAACATGTACTGAGCACTCAGCTGGGTGCCAACCACGGTGTAGACCTGGGCTGGAATGGGAGGAACAAAGATGAAAAATACAGTTCTTCATGGCCCAAGCTGAGCTGCTGCTGAGCTGCCAATAGGTGGCAGGATAGCTCAGCTAAAAAAAATATATATATATATATATATATATATGATTCTTGCCCTTGAGATGTTATAAGTTGAACGAGGAAGACCTACAGCTAAATGAATGATTTCAATATAGGATGGTAAATGCTAAGAAAGAAATGCATATTTTGGAGAGGGTTGCTATGAGAACATAGAAAGGTGTTTGGATGGACTTGAGGTTCAGGAAAGATTTGTGGAGAGGCAGTGCCTGAGCCAAACCCTGTGCTAAATCTTAGTTACTCCATGTGGGTTCCTTGTTTGGCAGTTATCCAAATCTCTGGTAGAGCTTTTCTCTACCAGGCAACTGAGTTTCTGATTCTCTATATGGTGGGGCCTGGGCATCTGCATTATCCAAGAGCTCTAAGGGGGAGCTTGGTGGCTGAGACTTTTTTGTCTCAGAGCAGTGCTACTGTTAATTTCTTCCTTAAGGGCTCCAAGAAGTCCAGGGGAGTACATCTGTAAAGCTCAAATCCTACTCCACTCTATGCTTGCCACTCCCACCCCACGGGGCTGGGTCAGAGGAAGGCAAAGAGGGCCTTCATTGGTCCTAGCTTTTGCTCCTGTCAAGGAAAGCAGGAGAAGAGACCAGTGGGAAGGAGCAGGCTACAGAAGAGATTGGAAACTTGGCCAGGAGGATTTTCAGCTGTTGTTTCTGACACTGGCTCCAGCTCCTCTGCCTGGGCATTTTCTGGGATGTGCCTTTAACAGCTGAATGCACATTAGAGAATAACGGCCTGACATCTGGTCATCCATACTAAAGAGGGCACAGGGTACTTACTATATATTGAGCACTTACTATTGCTACCCATTATGTTTAAATACCTCATTGTCTCACTTGATCCTTGCACAATCCTCATAAGAAGTAGGTATTATTATTGTTGTTGTTGTTATTCTCACTTTAAAGATGAAGAAACCAACACACAGAGTTCAAATGACTTGCTCCAAGTCCCCTGACTGTAAGTGGCAGAAGCAGGATTCAAATCCAGGTCCAGCTGGTTCCTCTGCCTTATTCTCAGTAACAGTTTTTAAAGTTAAAAAGTTGCTGAAAAGGCAAAGGATTCAGAGAGGAGGCAAGAATGCCAAGGACAAACTTTGCCTACTTCCCCCGCCAGTCTCTCTCTCTCTCTATCTCTCTCTCTCTCTCAAGATTTTCTCTCTTTTGCAGCCTAACCTCTTAAGGGGGGGTGTTAGAATTTTTACCTTGTGAGCAATTTTAAAAGTTAACAAAACAGAATGCAGTTTAAGGTTATACAGATTTTTTCCCTTAAGCATACTGCACTTGTAATTTTATTTATTTATTTATTTATTTATTTATTTATTTATTTATTTATTTATTTATTTATTTATTTTAGTTCTGAACATTATACTAACTTTGGGCTCTAACTAAAATATGTATGTGTTGCAACATTGATCTTTGTTTTATAGTAAGGAATTGGAGAGTTCTTACAGATGTGTGTGTTATTTTTCGGCTTCTTTACAAACATGTCTCCTTTGCCTTTTCCTCCCTATTTTCAGGATGGATGACGGCCGGCTCTTAGACTACCTTATGAATCATGATGAGCTGATGGAAGAAAAAGTTGCTTTTTATATCCGAGACATCATGGAAGCTCTGCAGTACCTTCACAACTGCAGGGTTGCACATTTGGACATAAAGGTAATAAGAAATCACAACCCTAGCCAGGAAATGACGAAGCCCAACCTGCCAGTCATTACCCTTGAGGGATATAAATTCTGATGCATTTTATTTACTTAGATTAGAGTCCTTATGAATATTAAACAGAAACGAGGTTGTTACCCAATTTAAGTGTGTTATTTATTTATTTACAAATTAATGAGAACACACAGGTCACAGTGACATCTGGGGTGAGAGAAGGTAGGCAAGCTTTAACCACTTCACCTAACTTTATGGAAGGAAGCCAATACATGTCAACCTTTTTTATGGTGCTCAAAAAAGAAGTCCCTGTGCTCCAAAAATGAATAATCTGTATTTTTTCTTGAGTTGATGCAGAAGGGATAGTTAAGAAGACATGATTTTCAGTGTCAAACAACTTGTCTGAAGTAACCCCCAGACTCAGAGCTTAGCTTAGTTTGAAGCCTCCTGAGCACTCTGCCTAGGGAACGTCCCATACACGATAGGCTTTATCCAGAAATGGCAGAATTGGGTTTGAACTAATGGAGCCCTACCAGCAGTCAAAACGGAGAGCTGACCCTGCCTTCTCTCCTCCCCGCCTCCTTGCATCTCCTCAGCCTGAAAACCTGCTCATTGACCTGCGGATCCCAGTGCCTCGAGTGAAGCTCATCGACCTAGAGGACGCTGTCCAGATCTCAGGCCATTTCCACATCCACCATCTGCTGGGGAACCCCGAGTTTGCTGCTCCAGAAGTGATCCAAGGCATCCCCGTGTCCCTGGGAACAGACATCTGGAGCATTGGGGTTCTGACCTATGTCATGCTGAGTGGGGTCTCCCCCTTCTTGGATGAGAGCAAAGAGGAGACATGTATCAACGTCTGCAGGGTGGACTTCAGCTTCCCCCATGAGTACTTCTGTGGCGTGAGCAATGCCGCCAGAGATTTCATCAATGTGATCCTGCAGGAAGACTTTCGGAGGCGGCCCACGGCAGCCACCTGCCTGCAGCATCCATGGCTGCAGCCCCACAACGGCAGCTACTCCAAGATCCCCCTGGACACCTCCCGCCTGGCATGCTTCATAGAACGTCGCAAACATCAGAATGATGTGCGGCCTGTTCCCAATGTCAAGAGCTACATTGTCAACCGGGTAAACCAAGGGACATAGCTCTGTCCCACCCAGCCCTTGAGGTTTCACATGGAAGTGCAGTGTGAACCAAAGCAAGACTGAATGTGCCTGTAAATAGCTGTGTTAATCATTTCACTCCATGTGGTTCCCTGGATTGAGAGATGTACTTCTTAAACCTCCAGTGGTTGGTTATTCAGGGTCTGAGCAGCAGTAAAATCGTCTGAAGTCCAGGCAGGGGCTTTCCAGAAGGTCATTCAGAAGAGATAAAGAAGCAGTCACAGAAAGTATTCAAAAGAGGGACAAGGATCACAAGAATAATAGCTGTTATAAAATTTTAATTGTGCATTCCAAAATGAGTGGGTAGCTGGGCAGAATCGAAGCTCACTGTACTGAGTATAAAAACGTTTGTTCCTTTGCTGAAATTTTAAGCAAAAAGTTCTATTTCACAGAGATGTCATGTATGCCAACTATTCTGTTTAGATTATTTAGATATAGTTTCTTAATAGGATACACATACATATACAGTCAAATATATCCCATTCAGGTTTCAGAGTTTTATAATATAGAGATATATATGAAATCAATCATAAGTAACTGTGAGTGCTCCAGTTAAGACAGTAATTTATTTACCGAAGCATTACGTTGTTTTGACGAAGCACAATTAGACATGTTTTTTAGAGCATTTTATAAATCTTGTATAGAAATCCTTTACCAGAACCTTTGCATTAAGGGAAAGCAACGTTACCCTTTTGCAACCTGTGAACAAGAAGATTTTTCTCTCAGTCACAGGTATTTGACTAATATAGGTTCTGTGTATGAAATGCTACCCCCAAATTCACTGGCAGCTCAGAGTTAATCTGGCAGGAAAGCCTGCCAGGAAGTAAGTCCAAATACAGTAAGAGTTGTGGGCTATTTTTATGCCTACACTTGGTTTGAAATAGGTAAGGAATATAACAGGTACCTACAAAAGGGCAAATAGAAACCTTTCCTACAGTTCCTATGAACACTGTACCAATGCTTTCTGACACTTTCTGCAGCTATAGCATGCAGTCCTCAGAAAGTTGGCCTACTTTATTTCTATCCCCTTCTGGAAGCTAAGGGGTGCTCACCAACAGGAGGCAGCCATATAGGCCTTTGAAAGGCCTGGTCTCAAGTCCTTTTTTGAAGCCATGGAATAAAACCTGATACATCACTCTAACAGAGCATTGAGTTTTAACTGTGACTGTAATATCTACCACCTCTCAGCCACTGACATTTTCCTGGACGGAAAGGACTCACTGCATTTTGAGGCTGACGCTGCTTTCTGGTGTATATTCTCTATACGAGATGATAATGAACTGCCCTTTTTTTCTGCTAGTGGAAAAAACAATTAAACCTGGGCATTTCGTGGGGTTTTTTTCTTTGTGTGTGTGTGTGTGTGTGTGTGTGTGTGTGTGTGTGTGTGTGTGTGTGTGTGTGTGTGTTTGGAAAGAGTTTTTGGTTTTGGGTTTGTCCATGATCCACCCTTTGTTTTCTAGAACATGTTTTGAAACTTGCAATTATGCAAATAATAGTTTAAAAATATAACTCAAGTGTTTGTCCAAATCAGGTTTATTAATGGCATTGCTTCTCTCCTATAATAGGATTGAGGGATTAAAATCATGCAGCACAGAAGAGCAGGTGGAGAGTTTAGGAAGGATAAATGAAAAAGAACGGTGGAAACTAAGCCTGAACTTTAATATATAAAAACACTTATTTTCACAGTGGAAATGTAGAATTAAAAACACTCATCATTCTTTTCCACTGGTTTCAAAGTCAGCTTTGTCATCTACCCTGCACTTCATCCCATCCAAGATTATAAATTAATAGATTAGTGAAAAGTACAAGCAATAAGACTAGATAGCACTTCGTATTTTCAGGATTAACCAAATATGTGGAAACTGACTCAGACTGTATTTGTTTCCTAGTTTTCAAATGGCCCTGGGTCATCAAGGGTCCCTTCCTCAGAGCTCTCTCTTGACTAACCCTTCATATCATTCATTGAAAAACAAATGTATATACAAAAGCTTTATGATATAATATTTGAATATTTAAAACATATTTACTAAAACCTCTTTTAGTAAACATGTCATCACGATGAGACATAGCGAAAAGAAGAAAATCCTTGTCCCTAGGGCTTGTTATGAGATAGAATGCAGGCACTGAGGATTCCAGACATCCATACAGTATGGCTTGGAAAGTTCTGTTCTGTCCACAGTGGACGATGACTAAGGAGCCCCTGCTGAGTCATTTTTGAGTGCTTATGGCCATGCAGGAGACAAGCTAAGTTTCTGCTTGAGGAGGATAGGGCCTAGGACAATGGTGCACAGACTGCACAGGAGAGCATTAATGAAACTGCTGTGGGGAGGACAGTTGACAGAATGTTAGACAGAGCCAAAGCGTTTTTATCAGCTTTTACAGCAGAGTGGGGACAGTCCAGATGTGAGGTGGCCTGGAATCTCCCCCAAGGACACTTGCTGGGGAAATGAAGAGACAGGAGAGGAAGGACATAGAAATGAAAAGGAGTATGATTTTGTTTAACTGGAGCCAAAGTACAATCATTAGAATAGAATGAATTTAATAGAGGCCCAAAGAGAAAGGGGGTATATTTTATATAGTTTGATAACTGAAGGAAACTAACAGGGAGACTCCCTGTCTGCAAAGCTCCTGGTCCCCCCCAATAGGGATAAGTAAAAGTCCAGGTTCAAGAATTCTCCATAGCAAGTTGGAAATAACAAGGAATCCCAGAAGATGTGGCTGGGAAATGTACTTCAGGTTGCTCTGTGGTGAGGGATGAAGGACCAGGGACCACTTTCTTGTACCTGTTTTGGAAGAGATATTTATTCCTTTGTGGGGGAGAAGAGAAAATAGTTCACGTCTATAATTATGGTGGTGTTTGAAATGGAAACTAGGAATTAGTGAGAGTGAACTTCCAGGTGAAATGGGAAAAATAAATGTTGGTTAAAGTCACAAGTTCTTGCTTGGCTTATATTCCTTGCATAGGGTTTTAGGTTTTTGTTTGTTCTGTAAAAGTGGGATGGAGAAAGAAGGAAAAAATCAGGGACAACCCATAATAATTTTTAAAAGGTATAGTGATTTACTGCATCCTTTCCATTTGTTTCAAATTAAATAGATTTATATCCACTTACAGCTGAATGTGGGAACATTTTTAAGAAAAATACTATAACGTTGACGGTGTCCTTCAAATCTCTCACAGCCATAAACACTCTTGGGGGAGAGAGGAAGGAGAAGAAAAGCTGGCTTCACTGCTTTGTGATTCACAAAGCCTTTATAATAGTAGTGCCTTCAGAGGGGAGGATGGGAGGTAAAGAAGTTCATTGTATTTAGATTGACTGATATTGCAGCATTTTTTCTTTGTTTAAAAATGTCTTTTAAATGAAAACATCTGAATATAGGGTGAGCCTAGGAATTCTTGGGTTTCAACCTCAGCTATTCCTGATTCATCCTTTCTTACAGAAAGTCTGGGTTTTTTTCTGCCCCAAATGTCCCCATTGTTAAAATGGGAGTTGGGGGGAAAGAAGGGGGACATTAATTTCATAGGAATGTTGGAGGAAGACCTTAGTTGGGATGTCTAGAAAATACTTTGATTTTTTTTTTAAAGTGCTACACACTGCCAGTGCTAAGAATATTGATAGTAACTTTGAACATTCCAGGTTTTTTAATATTCATATCTTTAGATACCATTTGCAAACTCATGAGAATAAATTCTGTAAATTGATTTTAATTGGAAGTACTAGGTGCTCTTTGTCTAAATGTTATTTGGTCTTAGCTTGTAATTTTGATCGTTTAAAAGCTTGTCTACAGAAAAAGGTTAGGAGAGCTGATTGAAGTCTTATGTCAATAAACTGTTTTCGCCAGCATTTCTTATGGCGACCGCCACTCTCTTCTCAAGCCTTCTGCTCTGGAAAAATTGACAGACAGGAATCCAAACAGCTACTTTCCTCACTGGGAAGGCAGAAGTGAGAATAAAATATTTTCTGATATCACAACTCATTTCTTCAGAATCTCACAGGCATCTATAAGAGACAAATTAAATGCACAGATGTAGAAATGAATAGAACTGGTGGTTTGGGGAGGGAAAGTTTTGACTTTCTTTTTGGTTTTTTTTTTAGATAATTAGGTATTTTGGGAGTAGCATAGTTGCTTTCCTATAGTCTCCATGATTTAGTGCCTGTGAGTTTGTCATTACTTTTTTCTTGCCTATGTGGAAGAGCATGGAGGTTTAGATTTGTGAGAACATGAGGGAGCAAATATGTTATAAAGTAGATGGTGGTTATTTCTGTGTATTAACTAAAACTTTGCCCTATGGATTTGCTAGAGGAGGGAATATTTCCCACACAAGGGGGGGGAGGGGTCTCTGTAGTAGAGTAAAAGTGCAGTTTTAAGGAATGTTGACCTACTCCTTTCTCTCCTGTGTAGCATCTCTGTGGAGTGTAGGTTAGGCCAACACAGTATGTGAGCTTTCCATGGATTTATTTGTATTATGGTTTTTCTTAACTATTTAAAATCATTTGGAAATGAATGATTAAAACCGGGGGCAGAGTTAGGAAAGATAAGGTTTATACATATACCACTAAGAAAAGGGAAGCTACTATGTTAATATTCATTTTCTAAAAACTATAAGGCTCTCGTTGTTTAATTCTGGAGGGTTAAAAAGGGCTGAACTTTGTCCATAGCTCTAGATGTTTAGAAAATATTATTCATGTGAGAAATCTATACAGAAATAGTAGAACACAGAAATATCATAGGCCATATTTTCTATGAAAGGCATTTCTTCCTCATTTTTAATATATGTAGAAGTTAGAGGAGAGGAAAAAGCAATTACTCTAAGACAAATGTTCATCTTTAAGGGACATTTATGGAAAACCTGAAATTAATCCTCATAGGCATTGTGTTGTCCTGTCAGCCTGTTTGCTGGGAGCTTCTAACCTGTGGTCAGATTTAGTTTCTATTCAAATGATCAAGATTAACTGTTTATTCAGATCACTGTTATTTTGGATAGTGAAGATAGCTGAGAAAAGGGAGGGTGGTGGAAAAACGTGCAAATAAATTCTTGGAGTCACAACTCCTGAGGCTTAAGTTAAGCAAGCTAATTTGCTAGCCCACAAATAACTAGCCTACGAGTTCCACCAATGCCTGATTTCTCTCAAGAAATGAATCCACATCCTGGAGTGTTATGGGAACTGTTACCGTGATCTCAAAGATTGTGGTTATAAATTCGAAGTTAACAAACATACATCTTCTCTTACTAACTTAAGCCATATCTGTCATCTCTGTGTTTGATTTTTTTGACCCTGGTGCTTTTACTTCTATTCCTGCCAAACTTCGGTCTACTCTATAGGGAAGGTGAGTAAAACTAGCAGTTAGGACAAATGTGAAGACTGTGAAAAAACTAAACATACTCTTTGGAATGAAATCCTAGTTAGAGAACAGTAGTGATCAAAGTGCAAACTGTTGGAAAATATGGATATATGTACATCTGTACATGTATATAGTGTATAATATGTATGTATATGTTATTGCTCATATGCAGAAATCTATCCATTTGAAGACAGCCCAGGTGGGTTAATTTCTCTATTGGAAAACCATTCAGGGCCATCCAAAACCATTAGGGCTGATGGGTAGAGTTAGATTCTACTCACTTAGGAATTATTTGCTGTCTTTCGAAATCCACAAAACCAAATAAACAAAGCCTGAAACATAATGGGGCCATCATTTGGGTTATTCTGCTTATCTGGAGTCAGAAATATCTTTATATTTGAATTATTAACAGTTGGTTTGCAAACTACATTGGCCCCTCTTGGTTTTGAGGGACTCCTCCCCACCAAGTCTTTTGAGAGTTTGGGGTGGGCTTCTCTGGCCATTCAGTTAAAGGGCCTTATCCATATGTGGACAGGTTTCCCCATAGGGACCATTACACATATACATATAAGTACATACTTCCATCAGGCTTGTAACAATTGATTTAAAATCACTCCACAGTATTGATAAATAGTTCTATATTTTCAAGGTGCAGAAGAATTCCACAGCCTTAATTATTTCAGTGTCTTGCTGGTCTGCCTTAAGTGTATCTTCTGGGTTTTGGTTATCTTATTATTTTTTAAATTTTCTGCAGTTGTTCATTTTGTATGCACACAATGTCATTTTGTAAAGGTAGGTTGTAAATATTTTATTTGTAAGTTAAATTCACTCACGTGTAATGTTGTAAAGTGATGACCTGCTGTCTTGTTATTACTACAGTAAATGTTATGGATGAAACTTCAAAATGTACATCTCACAAGTTATGCATTCCTATAAATATACTATACTAAAGATCTTATTTCTGGTAGTCTTTTTTTTTTTCTAATTAAAACCTTTGTTTAAAAAAAAGAGTAATTTTTTTTCTAATTTTCCCCAAACATATGAAAGCTTTTGACAAAGTAAAAATATCACATTATTATTGCAACACTTTTTGTCCAGCATTTTGGACTCTGCAGAAGTATTCTAAGGCATGTCTCTATCCAAAAATGCTTAGTAAGGCCTCAGGTGTGCATTGTTAACTTCATTCTGGTGTTTCCATGTGGCAACTTCGTTAGCAGATGGGCAGGCTGTTTGGGCTGGATCTCACACGTTTATGCATCAGAGTGTGGACTTGAGCATTCTGGATTAGCCTTTGCAGACCTGACCAGGCTTTGAAAGAGTCTGCGTTTGCCACCCAAGGGTAAAAAAGACTGATTCGTATTACACTGTCAGGTGGCAAGAATGTTAGAGATTGAAGTGTCTTGATTAGCTTATTTTGTCAATTACAACAAAATGTTTTAACATTTGACTTCTATTTCATCAAGATTTTACTGCATTTATTTGAAATGAGAAATAACTGTCAAAGCATGGGCTCTTCACCCTGGCTGGACAGCACAGTCTTTTCAGAGAAAATGCAGACATATGTAAAAAATATTGAAATAAAATCAGAATCAATTTGATGAGGAACAATCATTAGCCCTATGCTTTTAAGGATTGTTTTCCTTAAAAGTATTGCCTTTTCCACATAATGGGAATTTTCCCTACTTTAAGTAACCTATTTGTTAAGACCAAATACGCTTGGATTTTCAGATTGGCTGGCAAGGTCACCCTCCTGGATAACCTTGATACAGATGATTTCATTCTCTTCTACTCTCCTCCCTCTTTCCTTATCTGCTGTACACTTAACTACGTGCGAAGCACTTGAGCTACGCTAAGCGGAATAAACGTACGTCCTCCTTCTGGTCGCATAGAGCCGACAGAAGTAATGAGTCTGCTAAGCGCTTTATGGTCCCATGTGCAAACTGCTATGGCATTGTCATGTGATGGATGCCATGCAGTTAAATGAATTGAGAAGGGTACTGGCACTCTATTTGGAGAAACGGGGGAGGGGGAAGGGGCGTGGCTAATAACAGGCAAATAACGACTTGTTTGGCCAAGGAGTAGAGATAATTAAGAGGACACTGAGCTATAAGTGGGTAGGATTTATACAAATTCTATTGAAAGGCTTGACTTCATGATCTCGGAGTCGATCTAACTATTCGGGCTTTAAACTCCATCGATGCCATCCAGAGACGGCCGGCAGTAGCATAAACCTGGGTCCACATTTCGCTACAGCCACCGTAGCCCCGCCCCCCAGGAATCCAGAGCCCGCGCAGCCGCCCCGCCCCGCCCCGCTGCCGGAAGAGGAGGCGGAAGGGGCGGGGCTTCTCAGGTGATGTCATCCGGGCGCCAAAAGCCGGCGCACCCGCTCACTTTAGCGTTTGGAGCAAACGTAGAGCGCTTTGCGATGGCGGCCCCCGATGCAGCTTTGGGGTCGTTGGTAACGGGTCTGTATGACGTGCAGGCTTTCAAGTTTGGGAGCTTCGTACTGAAGAGCGGGCTCTCTTCCCCAGTCTACATCGATTTGCGGGGCATCGTGTCTCGACCACGTCTTCTGAGTCAGGTGTCAGCCCGGGAAAGGGAAGAACTCGGCTGGGTGGCGGAAATGGGGACCAGGGGGTGGAGGGGGTGGGTGACAGGAGTTGGGCTGTGGGTGAGAGCAAAAGAACCAAGCAGTTGGGTCGACTCTGCTGTCGGCCTGGGGAGTCGGTTTGAGAAGCCCATAGGCCAGGACCTTTTAGTTTCTTGGGGACCCAGAGAAGCAGCGTGCTCTTGGACCCACCACACGTGCTTTGCAAGAGAATCGGGAACCCAGTTTGGGGCCCTGTCTCACAGAAGTGGTTGAAGTTCTGTGTATTTAACTTCTAGAAAATTAGACGCGGGGAAGAAAGGAAGAGATGGGTGGGGAGAATTTAGCAGCTACTCAAATACTTGGAAAAGCTGTTACTTGGAAGGGCGGATTCGATTTTTTAGTGTGTGACCAGGAGTAAGAATTAAGGCCTGAGGGTGGACATTTCATGGAGGCAGGGTTTTTTTCTTTTTTTGTCAGTATAAGGAAAAACTTTCTACAAGTTAGATGTTTCTAGCACAGAGCTTCTCAAATTTTCAGTATGTTTGAATCACGTGGGAATTTGTTAAAAGGTGTAATATGCTGGAGTAGATCTGAGGCAGAGTGTGAGGTTTTGCGCTTCTAGTAAGCTGCCAGCCAAAGCTGCAGACCTCACTGAGTAGAAGGGTCGAAATGTGCTTTTGTCATTTTTCCCCACTTTTGTGTGTGTCTGTGTATGCCTTAATTTATTATTGTATTTACACATGATCTTACTACTTTCATTATTTAACTTTTGTAATAGCCTTATGAATAGTTGATCCACTACTTTTACTAAGTGTTTCCTTTGTCAATGAGAATTTTCCTTTGCTATATTTTCTTATTTTTAGTTTTGGCCTTTTCTACTTCAAGAAGTCCTTTTAACTTTTCTTGTAATGCTAATGCTGGTTTAGTGGTGATGAACTTTTTTAGCTTTTGCTAATGTGGAAATTTTTATCTCTCCAAGTCTGAATGATAACCTTGATAGTTACAATATTCTTGGTTGTAGGTTTTCCCTTGTACTTTGAATATTTCATGCTTATTCCCTTTTGACCTGCAAAGTTTCTGTTGAAAAATCAGCTGATAGTCCATGTGAGCTCCCTTGTGTGTAACTAGCCACTGTTTTGTTGCTACTTTTTAAGATTCTCTCTTTGCCTTCAACTTTAGGCATTTTAACTATGATGTGTCTTGTTGTAACATCTTTGGATTCATTTTGTTTGGGACTCTCTGTGCTTCCTGGACTTTCTATGTCTATTTCCTTTGCCAGGTTATGGCATTTTTCAGTCATTATTTCTTCAGATAGGTTATTTTGTCCCTTTCTCTTTTCTACTGGGAACCCTATGATGCTAATGTTGGTGTACTTAATGTTGTCCTAGAGGTAGGTCTCTCAAACTATTTCCATTTTTTTAAATGCTTTTTTTTTTTCTGTTTCGATTGGGTGTTTTCTGCTACCTTGTTTTCCAGATCTTCTGCTTTGATCTTCTGCTTCATTTAATCTGTTGTTGATTCCCTCTAGTGCAGCGGTTCGCAACCTTCCTAATGCTGCGACCCCTTAATACAGTTCCTCATGTTGTGGTGACCCCCAACCATAAAATTATTTTCGTTGCTACTCTATAACTGTAATTTTGCTACTGTTATGAATTGTAATGTAAATACCTTTTTGTTTTCTGATGGTCTTAGGCGACCCCTGTGAAAGGGTCGTTCAACCCCCAAAGGGGTCGCAACCCTTTCACAGGGGTTGAGGACCGCTGCTCTAGTGTATTCATTTAAGTTATTGTAGTCTTCGTATATGATTGGTTCTTTTTTTATATTCTATATCTCTTTGTTGGAGTTCTGAGTTAATCTTTTCTGAGTACATTGAGCATCTTTATTACCAATGCTTTGAACTTTTTACCTGGCAGATTGTCTCCATTTCCTTTAGTTCCTTTTATGGAGTTTTGTTATTTCATTTGGAACATGTTTCTTTGTCTCCTCATTTTGGCTAAATGTGTTTGTTTGTGTATGCATTAGGTTGATCTGCTATGTCTCCTGGTCTTGAAAGAAGGTGTCCTGGCCTTATGTAGAAGGTGTCCTGTGTGGCCAGCTGCACAGTCCATCCAATCACCTGAAGCCAGGTGCTCCAGGGCTGTTCCCTGTGTGGGTTGTGTGTGCCCTTCTGTTGTAGTTGAGCGTTGATTGTTGCTGGCATGTCAGTGGGTGGAGTTGACCCTCAGACTGACTGACTGAGGGCCAGCCTTGACTACAGGGGACAAGCTGTTGTGTGGGGGCTGACCCCAGGAAGCAGGAGTCACTTTAGCAATGCTCTTGTGCCAGGCAAGGCTGCCCATCTGTATGTTAGTTGTGAAGCTGCTTGGCTGGAGCTCTGGTGTGGTCTGAAGCCTCTGGGGAGTGGCTCCAGTTTGATCAGAGTTAAGCAGCAGCAGCTTGTGCTAGGCTTGGAGGCGCTTTGGAGAGGCTAAGGTGTGAGCCAAGGCCAGCTGCCACTCGTGCCAGACTTGGGGCCGCTTGGCAGGAGCTACAATGGAAACTGAGGCCAACTACCACTTGTGTGGGGTTTGTGAACCTTTGGGAGAGTCTGTAACGTGAGCTGAGGCCAGCTGCAGCTTGTGTGTGGGTTGCAGACCTTTAGGAGAGTCTACAACCTATGCCTAGTCAGGCTGCTCTGGAAGAGGCTCCAACTGAGCCGAGCAGTGGGGAAGAGTCTCAGGGAGAGGCCAGGACAAGCTGATCAGTGTTAGCCAGGTTAATGGAGAGCAACAGAGTTTGTGCCTGCCCGTGCCAGCTGGCTGGGTGGGAGGAGAGCTCGACAAAGGAACAGTGGTGCCTACCAGTACTTCCATCCTCTGAGAGAGTTCTTCCAATTCCTACCCCTCCAACACTCGCCCTAAAGTTAGTCAATTTAATTTCTCCCAACGTGACCCAGGCCCTTCTCATGCTGCTGCCTCTGTACTGGAACTTGGAGCAAGTTTGTTTGTACTTGAGCCCTTTAATAGCAGCATCTCAGTCTCCTGTAGTCCCTTGCCTCTCTGCGATGTAATCTCCACTGGTTTTCAAAGCCAGATGTTATAGGAACCCCTCTTCCCAGAATGGGCACCCTGGGCTGGGGAGCCAAGTGTGGGACTGGCGCCTTGCTCCTCAGGGGGACCTCCATAGCCTAGCTATCCTTCCTGTTTATTAAGCGCCACACTGTGCGTGTGGCACCTGCCTAGTCTGTGGCTCTGCCCTTCCCTCCTACCAGTCTCAATGTGGCTTCTTTATATCCTTACTTTTAGGATGTCTGTTCAGCTGGTCTTCAGGTGGTTCAGTGATGGGTGTTCTATAATTCCATTGTAATTTTGATGTGTTCATGGGAGGAGGTGAGTTCAGGTTTTACCTACTCTGCCATCTTGACTCCACCCCTCGCTATTGGAATTTTGATAGGGATTGCATTGAATCTGTAGATTGCTTTGGTAATATGGACATTTTAACAATATTCTTCCAATCCATGAACACGGAATAATCTTTCCATTTATTTGTGTCTTCAGTTTCTTTCATCATTGTCTTACAGTTTTCAGCGTCCAGGTCTTTGACCTCCTTGTTCAATTTGTTCCTAGGTTTTTTGTGTTTTTTTTTAAGATTTTTATTGGGGAATTGAGGAAGGGGAACAACGCTGGGGAATCAGGGGAAGGGGAACAGACAAGTTGCTGTCGTTTTGTTCTTCAGTCTAGTTGTGGAGGACTGAGTTGCTTCACTGGCCCAAGTTGGCACCATCATTGCGCTCTTCCCGGGCGAGGCAGATCAGTCGTCAGCGGTTGCTGGCCGCTCACGCTGGCTGCTGGCTACACACGGTAGCCCATGGCAACCTACTGGATATTTTGTTTTTTAATGCAATTGTAAATGGGATTGTTTTCTTAATTTTTTTTTATGAAACTTAACTGAAGACCTCTTTCAGGCAGAAAATATAACTAATGGGTGATAGATACTGAAAGCATAATAGATTACTGAGGAGAACTGGGAAGCCTGGGGACCATCTTTAGTCTATGGGATCAACATCATAGCCTTTCCTAACATCCCATGTTACCCTCAGAGCTGACTGTGTGTGAGTCTAGACAAGTAGTTTCATTGTTGTGTTTTTATATTTGTAAACTGGGATTTATGCAGTGAGTAATTTAACAAAAAGGTATTTGTTATTTTTGATCAGGTTTGAGACTATTTCCTGCTGGGTTATATTATAACACTATTTTTAATGATATGTTACATTATACACCGTTTAAAATAGAAATATAATAGTTTGTGTTCATTTTCTTCACAGGTTGCAGAAATTTTATTCCAAACTGCTCAAAATGCAGGGATCAATTTTGACACTGTGTGTGGAGTACCTTATACAGCTTTACCATTGGCTACAATTATCTGTTCAACCAACCAAATTCCAATGCTTATTAGAAGAAAAGAAACAAAGAATTACGGTAAAAATAATAGTAGTATAAGGATTAAGTTGATAGGTAACCTGACACTGCTAGACCTTTTTCTAGGCACTGATGATTTACCAGAGTCACCTTGAATATTCTTCATAAGACCTTTAAGTTGTTATGGCTCATGGAATTTGTTAACTGTTGCTATAAGTCACCTTCCTTTTCTTTAGAGCCTAGGCGTGAAATGGTTTGTATTTTATTAAGCAATGAAAAAAGTGCTTTTTTTGCACCATATCTATGAGACGCAACATTTTTACCAGCCCTTCCCTCATCAGCAGAATGTTGTAAGAGCACATACTTTCCCAGTATATTTATAAATTGCATGAAAAGAAATGTATGAATTACTCTTATAAAGCAATATAAATGCCACATTAAATTTTTAATGAAGATATTTTTGTCATGGGCTCATGGCAATAGGTTATTAGGTGGGTGTTTTAAACATGTTGGTTTGCTTTAAAACCAAGTCAATCTAAAAGTATTGGAACTGACTTCATATTTGAGATTGGGAAATAATGGGTGTTTTCGTTTTGTTTTATGTTGATGTGGTAGTATCTCTGTTTTATATATATATATATATATATATATTTTTTTTTTTTTTGAAAAGAGTCCTTACCTTTTATAGGTGCATTCTAAAAATTTTTATGATGAAATCATATGATTTCTGGGATTTGCTTCTAAAAGTTATGGGAGAACGGTGAGGGACTGGAGATATAGTTGAAACAAGAATTACTCATGAGTTGTTAAGTGGTGAGGTGCTGTATTTAGGAATGTTATACTGTTTTGTCTAGTTTTTTTTGTTTCAGATTGTCCATTATAAAAATAGTAAAAGCAGTTTTCCATCTTGAAGTCATAGTGTTTATTTATATGAATCCCTGCCCATAAAGAAACTATTATTTCTATTTCCTTATGTCTTCAAAACTAAGAATAATAAGATCATTCATTTTTAAATATACCTAGAAATACTCACAGTCTTGTGTTCTAGTCTAAGATGATTCTGTTAAACCTGCCAGTTCTTCAAGGGCGGGTAAAGAGAAAAGGGTTAAGAGAAAAGGAATGGGAAAGGGCAAAGATGGTACCTGTGGTAAAGCTCAGAAAAGCGGGCAAAATGCCCACCAATTGTACGCGTATTTCTGTTTCATAATAGAAATTTGGTAGTGGAAAATATAAAAATAAGTCTCTAAGAAAATTAATCTATAAAGTCTACAGCCTGAATTATTTAGATTTTGTAGATTATCTGAAAATAGTCTATAGTGGGGGTTAGAGTAAGAAAGTATATTTAGTCACATTGTATTATATAGTTCATAAAGTTGTAGTGATTGGTCTAAATGGTTGCTGAGTATTTTCCCTCGTGAATTTATATCTGCAAAGGCCAACTTTTTAGCTGATCTTGAGTAATGAACTAGTTTGTAAATGGAAAAAGGATTTCATTGATGATATTGGCTTATTCTATTTTTCATCACCTTCCTTGATCGAGGTGATCATGCTTTAAGAAACCCTATATTTGAAATTTTGACCATAAGCATGTTAAGTGGTACTTATTTACACTGCAAAATAATTTGTTAGTTTTACTGTAAATATGCTGTATATGTAACTTTGACAGTTTGGGGATACTGAGACACTGAATGAAATGGTAATCGTGGCATTTTGAAGATTCATCAGATATAAAGCAATTCCAAGTAGATTATCAGAAAATAAGATTTACATTATCTACCTCTTCATAAATATATGCCAGATTTACATTGCAAGATACATCTTGAGTTGACTAAAATACATAATTTTAAATTGGAATCAATCTACTCCTTTCTTTTTCAGGTACTAAGCGTCTTGTAGAAGGGGCTGTTAATCCAGGAGAAACCTGTTTGATCATTGAAGATGTCATCACTAGTGGATCTAGTGTCTTGGAAACAGTTGAGGTTCTTCAGAAGGAGGGCCTGAAGGTCACTGATGCCGTAGTGCTGCTGGACAGGGAGCAGGGAGGCACGGACAAGTTGCGGGCACACGGGATCCGTCTGCACTCAGTGTGTACATTGTCCAAAATGCTGGCGATTCTTGAGCAACAGAAAAAAATCGATGCTGAGGTAGTCGAGAGAGTGAAGAGATTTATTCAGGAGAATGTTTTTGTGGCAGCTGATCATAATGGTTCCCTCTCTTCTGTAAAGAAAGCACCCAAAGAACTCAGCTTTGGTGCACGTGCAGAGCTGCCCGGGACCCACCCAGCTGCATCGAAGCTTCTCAGGCTTATGCAAAAAAAAGAGACCAACCTGTGTGTGTCTGCGGATATTACAGAATCCAGAGAGCTGTTGCAGCTCGCAGATGCATTAGGACCCAGCATCTGCATGCTTAAGACTCATGTCGATATTTTGAATGATTTTACTCTGGATGTGATGGCGGAGTTAACAACCCTGGCAAAACGCCATGAGTTTTTAATATTTGAAGACCGGAAATTTGCAGATATAGGAAACACAGTAAAAAAGCAGTATGAAGGTAGGTATTATTCAGGAATCTGCATGAATCAGAAATCCATCTTAAACTGGCTGAAGGAAAAAAGGAACTGTGCTGTCTCACATGACTGAAAGTCCAGCTGTAGAACAGGCTGTCAAGCATGGTTGGATCCGGGAGCTCAAGTGATGTCTTTTGGACTTGCTTTCTCTTCATCTCTCAGCTCTGCTTTCTTTCTTGACTTCTTTCCCAGGCATACTCCTCATGCCTACCCCAAACCAGTCACTGGGGTGTAGAATACCTTAGGTATAGAATGGCTACAGGTATAGCTAATACCTTTATTAGCTCGCCTGGGTAATATGCCCCACCCCTGGTGATATGAGGTTGTTACCTGTATATAAACTTCTTAACTGAGATCTGGTCAGGGGTAGTTCCTCTAAAGAAAATGGGTATGCTGATGCCAGAAGAAGGGGGCATAGGTTCCAGGCAGGCAAAAATGTGTGGGCCCTGGCAGAACACAGTGAGTTCTGATATTTGAAGAATGAAAATTGCAGATACAGAAAACAATGAAAAAGGAGTATAATGTTAGGATTTATTATTAGCAGAAAAAGATTGGTTGATAGGCATCCTTTTTAAAGAAATTTTTATGTTAAATAGGAATTCAAAGTAGAGCATATGTTGGTTGAAAAGAATACTTAATTTTCTACCCATTCTATGCAAATTTCTGTTATAGTATATATATTGAATGCTTGCTTTCACTTAACCTTATATATTTTGTTATTAACACTTACAGGCATCTTTTGAGATAATTTTTTTAAAGTGGTACATGCATATTCTTAAGCTATTTCTTTAGCATAGATTTGTCTGTAAGTGACTTCTTCATGTGCTTAAGATGGCCTACCCTCATCACATTGCTTAGTTCAATTTATTGACCTACTGTAAGAGTTATATATAAACTTTCTGTAGGCTTGCATGTAGTTCTTTCAAAAATCAATTAGAGTTCCAGCTGTCAGCTTTTAAAATGAACACAATTGTCTATTGAAATTTGAAGAGCTAAGGGCCGGCCGAGTGGCTCAGTTGGTTAGGAGCACAAGAGTGCAAGCTCTGAGCAGCAGCAGTTCGATGCCCAGCCTGAGCTGAGCTGCTGCTGAGCTGCCAACAGGTGGGAGGATGGCTCAGATAAAAAACATAAATAAATACAATAAATAAATAAATAAGTAAATAAATAAATAAATAAGGAAATTTGAAGAGCTAAAGAGACCTAAGAAACAAGTAGAAGATTTGAGACATGGTAAAGTGGCTGAGCGATCCCTGCAGAATGAAAATTTGTCATCATCAGAGGAATTTCAGAATGTTCATATCTTTAACCCCCATAAACACCTATCTTCTCAGGAGTCCATTTCTAATTGTATTCATTTTATTCGTGGTCACAGCTTCAGTCTGCAAGGAAAAACAGTCTTAGTGTTGCTGGAAAACTAAGTGCAGAACTTGCAAGAGTTTTTTTGATTGTGGTCTCTCAACCAGCTGCTAGGTGGACATAAATTTTCCACAGTTGGTACCATAGGTCTAGTGATAATCAGTAAAATTCTTGAAATGTTTCACTATTTCATTAACACGTTACTAGGAGATTATTTCATATTGTAGTTGGTTGGGCAAACAGTGAGAGGTTTTTGTTTGACATTTGACACATACCTTTTTTCACCCTTCTTCTTAGGTGGTGTCTTTAAAATAGCTTCCTGGGCAGATGTAGTCAATGCCCACGTGGTGCCCGGCTCAGGAGTGGTGAAAGGGCTGCAAGCTGTAGGCCTGCCTCTGCACCGGGGCTGCCTGCTTATTGCAGAAATGAGCTCCGCGGGCTCCTTGGCCACTGGGAACTACACAAAAGCAGCAGTAAGTGACAGGGTCTGGGGTGAGAAGGCTGGGCTGTTACACTACGTGTTCCAGGGGAAGAAAGTTTCTTAATTTGGGGTCTGTGAAACCTGCTAAAAAAACAATGTAGCAGCTGTTGTTAGTGTGACGGTATGTTAATACTAGTTGGCTAGGGTTCCCTGATAATAGCATTTTCTGTCTTGTAGTGGACACTTAAGAGATTTGAATTGTACTCCCTAGAGAGAAACATTGAAACACAGATACTTGGTCAAATAAACATCCACCTGTATGCTTACCTGACCTTTAAGATGGAGTTGGGTTTTTTTCATCTCACCATGAGTTGAAATTGAAGAGCTTCTTAGACTCTCCCAAGTCCCACAGAGATGCATTCTGATGACAGCAGCCCACATGAAATAGCTTTTTCTTTGTCAGTCTTTGATACTGATTGGTATTGTATGGCAAAGCTCTTAAGTAGAGTCCAGACACATTGTTTCCTCCAGTAATTCCCCCCATTATTAAAAGTTCTTGTAACACCGTACACCTTAATACCCAGCCCCCATCCCTGCATTCCAGAATAAAAGAGGATAATTGTCTAGTTAAAAAGTTCCTCTTCATATTTTCCTCTGGGTAAGTTTCATAGTTGGATAATCATCTGGAAAGTTGGGTAGGTCACCTTTATAGATACTTTAAAGATTACTGGTATTACTTTTAAAAGTAATAGAACTTTTGACTTTAATATTTTAATTTTTACATGGGAGTTTATGTCTTCATATTATTTCAAAGGCTGTCTGTGGAACTGTGAAGAACTCACATGGCCCTAGTGCCAGGTTTTAACCCCCACCCCCCCACACCCGCCCAATAGACCATAAATACCTGTGATTTCCCAGCTCTCAGAGCAGAGCGTTCATGAGTCAGTTGGGCAGGTATTTGGCATTCTGGGAGTCTGAGCTCAAGGCTAAGACATTGCTAATTGGTAGGTGGTAGTCTTGGTGGCAAGAATAAAACAGTAGGAGCCTCAGGGAAGAGCCAAATTAGAAAGTAAGACGGACCTAGAGAAACTTACATGAATGTGAGGTAAGGGGGTAGTGGTATAGAAAGCGTAGAGACCAGTTATTAGCAGATGTTAAAGGAGGAAGAAAGCATTAGAGGTGAGATTTCTTGAGCTCTTGACGACAGCTGTTTTTTTTATATGGTGGCCATTCATGGATATGGAGTACCCTGTGTAGATAGACAGTAGGTCTTTAATGTGGTTTCATGCCATTAGAAATGTATTCTAGATACTCTCATATCATTTTTGAAAGTAGGTGGGTAATTATGCAGCATCTAGATTTTAGACACACATAGTACAGGATTTTTAATGTTTCTAGGGCATGGTTAATTGGGAGAAGGGGAGAGACAGGGTTTATGAAGCAAATATGTAGACTCGTATCTAAGATTATCTGTTTTAGATATAATGAGTTCAATGTGAAATGAAAGACATCTACATAATAGCAAAGTTTCTTACTAGTTAATAGAGCCAGTTTTTTACTTGTGGAGCTATTCTGTTGTGATTAACTGCTTTCCTGTAATCTGTCCTATTACATTCCATTTAGGTTACAATGGCTGAGGAGCATTCTGAATTTGTGATTGGCTTTATTTCTGGCTCCCGAGTAAGCATGAAACCAGAATTTCTTCACTTGACTCCAGGAGTTCAGTTAGAAGCAGGAGGTAAATCTATTCATTGGTCATGGTTCTTCCAAAATACTCTTTACCCAAATCAGCAAGGGCAAAGTAAAATTGGGTGTGTTATTTTAAAGCTGCTAAAGAGAAAGCTTGTTTGTCTAGAACAATAATGAATGAGCCCTTTTGGCCTGGTGATACTGACCTAGATATGCAAAATAGCTTGTGGTCTCATTTGAGGGTGAAAATTTAGAAAGCTACTTTTCATTGAAATATACCCAGAAACTGATTATTTTAGTGTTTACCAACTGATATTCTGGATATGCTACCAAAAAAGGTGTTTTATGCTCAAGGAAGAATGGGCTAAGCTAAACACAATCACACATTTGTTTCTTTGTTAGAAGACTTTGCAGAGCCTTGGATGTGCTAATGTTTGTTGTGACTCTCCAGTGCAGAGAAACATGGTTCTGTCGTGTCTCCTGAGCTTATATGTAACACTTTCAGCAGCCTGAGAACTGCAGTTGTGGTGGCTAAAGATCAGTGCATATTTTCTCAGTGATGGTTACTAGTCCATAAAGGAGTAATCTAGGTATAAACATATACATATTTAAATGTCCTATGGGACTCATTAACACTGCTTTGATTTTGAATGGGGAAGAAATGATGACCTGGAAAGTTTTTAGTTTTCATGAGTTGGCTGTTGTACAACAAAGGTATGCAATCACGGGGATGGGAGTTGATCCCACTTTTCATCTCTTTCCTTCTTTATGGATTAGGCTGAAGGCATTAGAGATTGGAACTGTGCACAGTACGGTTCTCAGAAAACCTATTTAAAATGAAAACAACTGTGCTTATCACCCCTCAGGGGAATTTGTCAGGTTGACACTCTGATGTTCTGTTTTTACATTGAAAAGCTCAAAAGTTACCTTTATTTTTTATTATTTTGTTAAAGCTACCTTTAGAACTGTGAAAAGAAAGTAGATTTTGTTTTAGTCATTCTTTTATTATATAATATAACTCATACCCACCTCTCCTTCACGTCCTGCCTCCCCGGGCCAGCTTCTGTCTCCACAACAATCACATAAATGGTGTGATGTGCATCCTCACAGACTTTTGGCTTTACATGTGCTCACATACGCACATAGCGTTGGAGAATGTTTTGTGCAGTTATGTTTCCACATCTAGAGTTAACCTTTTAACAACTACAGTAGTGTTTCCTAGTTAGGATTGGGACCATGGTGTGCTTAACCATTCCCCTGTTGATGCATTTTGACTGTTCACAGACTCAACATCCTTGTATATATCTTTGAACATGTAGAGAGTATTTCTGAAATACCCTTCTAGGCCAGAATCTGCTCAAGGATGAGCGCTCTCTCTGAAGATTGCTTACCCTCCAGCACAGTGCCCCTGTGCCACATAAATATTCTATAAGTACTTTTGCAAATGTTGAGGGAATGGACACTGTGCTTTTTAGGAACTGATGAAAGTTGGTATTTCTGTAACTGGGAGGATTATACTGAGAACATAATGATTGAGGGTATGAGTTTGGTGAACCTCGGTTTTCTTTTTAAACTCTGAAATACTGGAACTAGTGGCTACCCATGAACCTTGAAAGAGCTAATTATATTAGATAAATAATATAACCACACTTAAGAAAAGGAAGGTACTGCCTTTTTGGTATTTTGAGATTTTGTTTTTAAGTACTTTAAACAGAAATCATTAACTTTCTGTAATCAGAAAGAAAACTAATAGACTGATGAGAATTCATTAGAATGGTAGATGTGTCCGCAGGCGTATAGAATATTGGCAGTCTCCACTCCCCAAATTCCATGGTACGGACTCTGTATACTACAGAGCAGGGCCTCAGCAGAAGGACTCGCCTCTCTCAGGCTTTGTCATAGTCACCTCAGTACTCAACTTCTGACATTTTTTTTAAAACTCCACATTTGTACTAAACATGGGTCAGATAGATTTGGATTTCTGACCCTTCTATTTAGTAACCATGTATCTTTGGACAACTCAATTTGCTTCTTTCAGTCTTATTTTCTTGATCTGTAAAATGGGGATAATAGTGGTGACCTCATAGGGCTGTTGAGAGGCTTAAGCGATACACTGTGTTTAAAGCACTTACACAATGTCTTGACACAGAGTAAGCACTCTGTGCTTGTTGCCTATTATGAATTGTGAGCCCCCACAATTCTTTAACTAGACAGTACAGTTGGGCTTTGGGGTATATTTAAAGCATTTTGGATTTGAAAGATAAGCTATTTAACAGAAAATTCTGTTATTTGGTACAACAGAATTTAAAAGGAAGGAAAAAGGGGGTTTCTGGTTCAAGATAATGATGTAGGAGTCCTGCATTACTTCTTCCCATAGACACACAAAGCTACATACATACAGAGCAGTTTCCTCTGACAACAAAATCTAAAGCTGGCTGAGCAAGGACTACACCTCTGGTAAATAAGAAGAAAACCACATGGAAGTGGGTGGGAGAGGCTGGAGCACAAAAAGTCTTACCAACACCCCCCCCCCAGGTGTGGAAACCCACAATTGGGAGGGACCTCAACAAGAGCGTCCCCATGAGAAGTGAAGGGTTTGTTTGGAACTGCACATTGGGCCCACCTTAAATACCCACCCCTGAGAGATGAGCCCCCAAAACATCTAGCTTTGAACACTAATGGGGCTTGTGTCCACAGACCCACAGACTATAGTGATCTGAGGACTCTAAAGAGCCTGCATGCTCAGACTCACCTGTCCCAGGCCCAGCTCAGAGGCAGCTGATGGTACCCAGACATTAAGTACAAAGGCTCATTTGCTAACGTTAAAGCGTTGGCCTGAAGAGAAGGCATCTAACTTAATACACATCTACAAGTTTGCTGGAAACCTCCAGGGATGGAGACTGGTGGGCGCCATCTTCGCATCCAGAGCACCAGCATCTGGAAGGGAGTTTTTACACCATCTGGTGCCCTGATTTTTGCTGCTGCCCAGGGGACACCCCTTGATTATTTGGCTCTGGAGGCTAGGGGAACTTATGTTCCTGGATCGCAATGGGACTATAACAACTGGGAAGCAATTCTTAGTAGGCGACCACCTCCAGGGCGCTGCACAGACAGCACACTGAAACACACCTCCAGGCTTCCTGGGAGAGAGGCCTATTTGCTTGTCCTTGAGCTGTGACCTAAGGAGCAGGCTTCTGATCTGACACACATCTAGTGGCCTACAGAAGTGCTTTCAGGGAACAGAGGCTGATGGCACAGTCTGCACTGTCCACTGCCTCACTCCAACTCACTGGTATCTCCCAGAAAGGAGCTCATACCCTTGGCTGGTACCTCGATTTTTGCAGCTGCCACGGAGGGAGACTTCTGCCTGGCTGAGCTCTGGGGCCTGCAGAGCTTATGGGTCCCACAGGACTGTAACCAACAGAGAAAATGTCCTTAAACAGGTTCCCCCTCCCAGGGCACAGCAGGAGGCAACAGATCAGGAGCTCAGCCTTTCTATGAAAGAAGCCTGTTAGCTTTTATCACAGCTGCAAACCAAGGGGCAGGCTTCCCATCAAACACACATCTAAGGGCTAACTAATCCTTACAGAGACCAGAGGGCAGGCGCTGTCTTCTTGCTTTCCCTTGGCTGTGTTCCAGAGCTCTCCTATCTCCTGGAGGGGAGCTTTTACACATGTCCACTGCCCCAGTTTTTGCGGCTGCCGCCCAGGGCCCACACCTTTATCTCCTGGATCTAATAGCAGGGAAGGGGGGTTTGCATTCCTGCGTGCCACAGGCTGTAACAATTGGAGAGAGGATTCTCCGGCTACCACCCCTGAGTACTGCACAGACAGCGTACTGAAACGTAACCCCGGTCTCCCTATGAATGAGGTCTGTTTACTTGTCCTGGAGCTTCAGCCTGAAGGGCAGGCTTCAGGTTTGACACACATGTGGGGCCTACAGAGCTGGTCTCAAGGAACGTAAACTAGTGGGCGCCATCTTTGTGCTCCCCCTCGCTACAGCTTGCGGGTCTAGTTTGGAGCCCTGATTCTTGTGACTGCTTCCCAGGGGACACCTCCGAATAACCTGGCTCTGGTGGCAAATTGTCATTGTTTGCAGATGACATGCTATTACATATGGAAAATCCTAAAGACTTCACCAAAAAAATGTCCTAATTAATAAAATTCAGTCAGTTGTCAGGATACAAAGTCAATGTACAAAAATCTGTTGCATTTCTATACACTAATAAACTATCAGAAAGAGAAAATAAGAAAACAGTTGCATTTACAGTTGGATCAAAGATAGTAAAACACCTAGGAATAAATTTAACCAAGGAGGTTCTGAAGGCCTGTACACTGAAAACTATAAGACACTGATGAAAGAAATTGAAAAAGACACAAATATATGGAAAGATAATCTGTGCTCATGGATTTGAAGAATTAATGTTACTAAAATGTCCATACTACCCAAAGCAATCTACAGAGTTGATGCAATCCCTATCAAAATTCAAATGACATTTTTCATAGAAATAGAACAAATAATCCTAAAATTTACATGGAACCACAAAAGACCTCAAATAGCCAAAGCAATCTTGAGAAAGAAGAACAAAGCTGGAGGCATCACATTTCCTGATTTCAAATGATATTACAAAGCTAGTAATCAAAACAGTATGGTATTGGCATAAAAACAGACATAGATGAATGGAATAGAGTCCAGAAATAAACCCATACATACATGGTCAATTAACTTATGACAAAGGAGCCTAGAATATATGAAATTTTTGTAATTATACAAAGGGATGAATGTTAACTAGACTTATGGTGGTGATCAGTTCACAATGTATGCAAGTACTGAATACTGTACACCTGAAGCTGTTACATGTCAATTATACCCCAATAAAAATACATGAAAAGAGATGGCACCCGCCTGCTGGCTACAGGTAGGAGGGCTCCACACAGGGAGAATGGGGACTGTCCCTCCAGTCCTTGCAAGGTTACACACCTCAGGCAGCCCCTCAAATTTTCCAACACCCTCTGAGTCACCGTCCCTCTGCTGGAGCCCCAG